GTTCTTATTGTTGTTGGTCTCCCCTCCTCTTCCCCTCTTTGTTACTAGGCCGCTGCGCGGCCCCCTCCTCCTCTCCCCCGGGACGATACTTCGCGCTTCGCGCGATACCTGCATGTTTCTTGTTGCCTCGGTTGGAAACAGCTCTGCTGGATAATAAATTCAGCTTCAAAGACAGAGGAAAAGGGGGTGGGATGTTGGGGCATCGGCCTCTTGTGTGCCTTTGACGATGGCAAAGGCAAGATCTCCAAGAGTTCAGTTTCCGAACTGTAACTCTCTTCTATCAGTCACCTACCGGTAGCCACTTTTGAGAATCTAGCTTGACGTGCACCAGGCTACTAGTATTTAAAATATTTAATCAAAATCCGTGGAGTATGGGCTCCTGATGGCTAAGCTGCTACGGTACAAGGTTTCCGAGTTCTCACACACCAATTTTGCCAGTACCCTTGAAAGTATAGGTATGGCACCAAAAGTTGGCAAACATGGCAAACAAAAACACCATCCAGATAAAACTGCCCACTCCCAGCTCCACAGGAACAGAGCCATACTGAATTGTCTGTGCATTGTGGACCATGAGAACCAGGAATTGAATCATTTGCATTGCTGTCAGACATGGTTTGACAAGTTTGGCAAAATGAGTGAGGGTGGGGATCTTGGAAGCGGACAACAGATACCATGAGTACATGGCAGCATGGATGGCACTGTTGATGCATTGCGGACCCCAACAGTCACCCATAGGACAGATTCTGAGAACAAAATATGAGAGCCAAATCTGCCCTCCATGGAGCATGCAGTGCAACTTTGACATGCTCTTCTTCCCGTTGAGCTTGATAAAAATAGTGTCAGTGCAATCGGCGATCTTGTTCAAGTAGTAAAGCCAGTAAAGCATACCCATGGTAGGGTTCCATTGGGGGTTCACATTGCCCCAGAAGGAGTATCCATTTTCGAAGGCGCAGGAGAATGCAGCAAATGCGTGCCATGTATTGAAGGTTGCCTGCAAAATGTTGTAGGTTGGCTGGAATACTTTCGCTGCTGAAGGAAGCCAAGGAAGTTTCTTGACAATGGTGTCCTTGCTGGAAAGAAGCAACAGCCCATAGAGGAGCGTCATGGAGACAGAAAAGCCAATCATGGTAGCAGAAGCCATGAAGTCTTGCAACTCTTCCGCAGTTGTGAATTCACGGGCAAACACATCAATAGCTGGGTGAAAGTACTGGCCTGCCACAACAGTGACAATTGCAACAGCAATCAGCCCAAAGGAATCAACACCACCAGAGTAACTCGTTTTGACGACCATGCTGTGCTTCGGATGTGCAGGATTTGTAGCAAGGAAGTGCAAAATTTATGGTTTGTTGGTTTTGCTTTTGCATTTGGTCGAGAGCCAAGTGATCGGGTGCCAGGAGCTGTACCAGGTACCAGTCCACCACTGAACCGTCATCAAGGGACTTGGTCCAGAGCCTGTGAGCATGGAGTACATGTCGTTCCTGCTCAGCGGATGGAATGGGACATGAGAGCAGGATGACAGCTCTATACAGGTAGAAAAGGTAAATTTGGGGTTAAAGATTACAATATTGATTTAGAAAAAGTGTTTTACCTCATACTGCTAGCTAGTATCTTAAAATCGAAAAGTTGTAGTCATGTTCGCGCCAGACATCCAACAAAAGAGCTTCCAACAACCCTGCAAGGTCCGGAATCGGGACTAATACCCGTGAATTAATCTTCCAGTTCCGCCCACGATTTGGCAGTCGCGCCAACTCGGGATACAGTTTCACAACTCCCGCACAGTTTCACGACTAGTTTCACAGATGCGTGAAACTGTACTTTCACTTTCACAAATGTGTGAAAGTGCCAAAACAGTTTCACAACTCGCAACACAGTTTCACGACTCTCGCAACAACACTAGAGAGGCTACGGAACAACCACACCACACCACACAAAGCCATCTAAACCAATTACACTACGCAAGATTATACTTTGCTAGCTTCTCCATCTGTTTCTCCCGCTTCTTCTCTGACTTCTCGAGCATGTAGGCTTCCCGCTTCATCTTCTTAACTTCTTGATAGATTCTATTTCGAAATCGATCGAGCGCATAGACTTGATATTCCGGCCTTGTTGCGTATAGAAATCGTGGCAGTAATTCGATGTGTTTGTTGTCGTCGATGTCTTCGATTAGGAGCTGTTGAGCCACAGAGTCCTGCCACACGGGCTCACCCCAAACATCTTCCGTGGGCTTCGGAAAAATCAATCGATCATGAGCCAAGGCCACCGCGCCAATTGCCGATCGGTCGTCCTTTTCGGCAACCTTATTTCGGATGCGTAGCAAGTTTGCTTCAAACTTATTGTCAAATGGGTAAGGCCCAAACTCTGGTCGGCCCTGACAGTACTGGTCGTATATCTCCCTTGCGTCTACCTCTTCCAATGAATTGCCATCTGGTATTTGGCCATCGGCAACCAAGTCATAGAGATATTCTTTTGCTAGGCTGGTTTTCCAATCTGGCTTTTTCTTGGGAGGCATTTTTCGGCTTGCTAACCCACAGAGAATGAAAATGATACCCTGTGACAAATGGATGTTTTTGTGGCCGGTGAGAGGGTTCTCTCCTAGTCGTGACGTTTGGTTTGGTGGCGACGTGGTCAAAGATACAGAATACTCCTTAGCTTGATTAGGGTCCATATAGACATTGTGTAATAGATATATGTTCGTTGTACTGCTAGGAATTGGATGATGCTAGATATTTTGATTGAAAGATCTTTTTCCGACGAACTTCGAGCTCAACTCTAGCCATTTCTTGGTATGCCAACAACAAGAGCAAAGGCCAAGAAGGGACGAGCAGCAGCGGCTCAAAGGGTGCCAAAACAGGAGGATCCTAAGGAGGAGGAGTTGAGTAGATCCCGACGAGACAGCTACACATCAAGTGAAGGAAGCTCAGTCGCCCGACCTGTGTTAGGATCTTCACAGCTGGGATCACCAGCAGGGAGTGTACGGAGCATTGGCAGCAGACGAATCAACCCTACCCGAACGAACGCAGCAGGACTTTCACACGAGTTGCAGGTTCAGCTAGCAAGTGACGTGGAGAGATCTGGAGGCATTGTTGCTGTCTGCGAGAGAAAGAACGGAATTCTAGCTCTTTGCCGTGCAAATACCGACGCCTACGGTGAAAACAATCAGAAAAAGCGCCGACAACAAGTGCGCAACCGAATCAAATATTGGGAGAAACTTCACAAGGCAGGGACAGGGTATATCGATCTTTTGGATACTTGGCAAGTTTATATTTCTGAGCCAACACGACGATATCATTTGGAAGGAGAGCGAAAGCCGGCAGCACAAGCTCGAGTTCCAGACACTATCCAAGTTTCCCGAGACGACACGAGCTCCATCGGCACAGCAGAAACCACATCGATTGATTTCACTCCTTCTAGTGATCCGATCAGTTCTGGCTTCGAGATTCCCACTGCACCACTGTCTTTTCAAGCTTTTGCAGCAACGAGTATTTTTGAGCCCATTAGCACCATGTCGGGAATTCGAGGAACGTACCGTTCAGGTGAGCCGCATGGTGGCGGTGAAGCTGGCGGTCTCACGCGTAAGTTTCAACATTGTGCAACTGTTTTTATTGTTTCACACTCTTGCTGATCAATTGCATTGCCGAATCAACAGAGATCATTCCAGTCAACACTAAGTATTTGGAGCGAACACCAGATCCAATCAAAGTGATGAAAGTTCGTGGCCTCCAAGGTGTTGAAAAGAATGACCTCTATGATGGATACGTCATTAACCTTCGTTTGATTGACATCCGTGATCTCCTTGGCCATGGAGAGGACAAGCCCAATCCAGATCATTTCCAAGCCAAGCTTATTTCGATGGGAGGGCCAGGTTCTGGTGCGAAGATTTCTATTGCAGTTCCTGCTCTTGATTGGCACTTTTCCGGAAAGGATGACGATAAAGTCAAGGAGGTGTTGCATGGAGATCAAAATAGTGGCATTCGCGACAAGTTGGACACCGTCTATCATGAGTTCACCAATGACCCGATTCGCAAGAGCAACCAAAAGCATCTCATTCTTGAGTTTCCACCGGGACTTTCTCTTTGTTCTGATGTTTTGTTGTGCAACAAAGACACGGCTGATCCCAAAACTGATTTGGACCTCGAAGTGCTGCCTGTTTTCACTGACTGTAGTGGTCTCGAAGCTCCACCGGATAAGTGGGAACAGGGAACTGACACTAACGGGAATACAATCTCTATTCTCACCCGAACCGTGTTGAAGTTCCCTGCCTTTCGATTGCAGTGGCGTGTTGCGATCAAAGCGGAGGCCATCAAGAGAGGACGCGGGGAAAAGAAGAAACAGACGCAAACTGCTGGTCAGGCCGCATTTTTGAAATCGATGCAGAATATGACGACTGGTTAGCTTTCTCTGTTTGCTCCGACAGCTTGCTTTCAAATGTAGCGTCTAACAAAATAGTACAATTTGTTTTCATTTCGCTTAGGACCTCTGACATTACCAACAGCACCGACCGCATCTCTTCCTCCCCTTTTTCCTTCGGCCCCTGCGGATCCGCCGGCTGGACCTTCTGGCCCTCCTGCTCCCACTATCAACGACAAGGTTTTTCAAGAAGTGGATGCAGGCATGGTTGCCAATCTAATCGGTATGGGTTTTCCGGAGTCTAATGTCGTTCTATCCTTGACTGCTGCAAAAGGAAACCCCGATGTCGCTCTTGCTTATTTGCAACAAAGTATTGACGATGGCAATAGCAATGATGATGATGGCGATGGCAATGATGACGGCGCCTTTGTTGATGATGCAATTGATAGCATGGAAGAGCTACTAAAGGAAGGGAAAAGCACGATCGATGAGATAATGATGAACGATGAGTCGCAACTCAAAAAGAGAGAAGCTTCCGAAATCTAACAACTAGAACAAAGCAGATAAAAAAAAAGAATAATTCGAGGCACTACTACTGGGCTGATTACTCTAGCTACGCGACATAGAACAATGGCCCGCCGTTGTCCATATCAACTTGGACCAGCACAGCACAAGCAAAGAAGCACGCTTGGTGCTTGACGGCTGTGTCGTCTACAGTGGCACGGTCATGACCATGCCGAAACCGGACGTCCATAACGGCAAAATTTTTCAATCTACAATTGAATGTTTCTTGTCGCGACATTGCCCTTCCTTTGAAATCGCGGAGGTCCTGGTTGTCGTGTGAGCTTGGAGTCGAAATCAACGCTGGTTCTCCTCGGTAACCTTTGTCTCCAATTGCCAGCTTACCGGGAGAGTTTTGCTCCATGTGCCCTTTCAAGCTGGATCGAAAAATGCTGATGTCATGCTTTGAGGCTGGGTATGGCCCAGCAATCCAAACACATTTGTTCGTAAAGATAGAAAGAGCAACCTCGTAGTCGAATGCCGGCTTTTTGAATTTGTGAGAGTAGTATTGCTTGTTCTCCGAAAAGCTGTCCAGTGTTGGCTCCTGGATCATACAATGGACACCATCAACAGAGATGATGAAGGTTGTTTCTGTATTGGGATCATGCTGATTGTTGGGATTATTCCAAGCGTTCGGCCAAACAATTACTTCCGGTTTCAAGGCAGCCAGCTTTTTGACATAAAACCAGTTCCATTTCCGGTACGTCTTGTCACTCACACCGAATCGGGCTTCACCTTCATTCTCAGTGGGGTAGCATGCCAGAAAATTGACTGCCATCAAAAAATGCTGAAAGTTGGCAACATCAGGCAAGACACTCGCATCTTCATTCTCACTGGTAAGGAGCATATCCCAAACAATAGACAGCACAATGGGCGACGATGCGTAGTGCGTTCGAAAGCGCGAAAGGTTCTTCTTTTCATTGACACTGTCAATGCGGTGCTGCTCAAATCCAATGACACGGAGGCCCGTTTCCAGCACCTCATTTGCTGGAAGATTTTGCGCCATGTTGCCTAACAAGAGACTTGACTTTGTTCAGCAGGGCATAGTCTATAGTATTAGTGCTGTTACGGGATGCCATGTTGTGCAAAGTCGGATGCATGGTGGGGTACGTGGCACAAAAGACAGTTTCACGAACAGTTTCACAACTTTGAAAATAGTTTCACGGATGTGTGAAACTCTACTTTCACTTTCACAAATCCGTGAAAGTGTCAAAACTGTTTCACACATCTGTGAAACTGTGCGATATAGTTTCACGACTCACGGTTAGTCAATCGTGGTTGGGAAGGAGCCTTTCACGGGAAATGCAGTCGTGCATTAAAATATGACGTCAGTTCCGGACCTTGCTGGCTTCGTCATGCTGAAGGAGTGCGACAGCCCAGTCCAGAGTCTGCCCCCTCTTCTCCTAAGTTTGCCCCCCTGCCAGCTACATGAGATTGTGTCCTCAACAGGCGCCTCGTGGCACCTTAAATACCGGTCTTGATTCTTCGTTCATGTAGAAACCCAGATTGTACCGGCGCATGTTCCAACCAATCATCTTGGTTTGCCAAGAGAGACTGGTTTGGTCTCGCCCCAGCATCACATACCGGTGATTTTATGCGACAGCTAACACCGCTGCAATCAATTGTCGCCGCGTGGTTTCCGTTCCTCGAGTTGTCGCCTCAAGTCCTGCAATATCCGAAACTGATTGGAACCCTCGCGCAACCCGAGTCTGTTCAAAATGTAAGATACCTGGCTGCAAAGGGAGTCAGCCCGTTGCGAGTCCATGCGTTCGGGGATTGCAAAGGTACACGCATATTGCAGCAGCAAATCCGAGTACCAGACGTTGTACTTTTGATCTCCCGCTCTGGCGACCTCCATGGCAATCTCAAACTTGTCAATGGCTTGATCGTAGTGTTGCATGTTGCGATACGTGATGGCCCAGCATTTGTATCCATTGACAAAGTCTATTACAGCTTCTGTGCGGCACTGGCAGCTATCCAGAGCTTGAGCCATTTCCTCAAAGGCTTCAAGACTTTGATCCATATTGTTCATGAGACTCTGCAACAGGCCAATCCCAGCCATCAAATTGCTATACATGACGCTGGATGTAGCGTCGAGCTGCTGGAAAATGCGTTTCGAACAGAGAAACGAGTCAAGACTCTGGGCAAACACCTCGTCTCTCTGATTGTTGTCGTGGAGAGAGGCCCCAATCTTCCGAAGAATGGTGCCCTCGTACAATCGAATCTGCGCAATTCCTAGGGTCTCAGTAGCACCTAGTTTTTCTCGTGCATGGGCCAGCATGTCACGAGCCTTTGGACACGAGTTTGGCACTCTGTTGAAAGAAGCCAGCATCCAGGCCACGGCGCAGAAACGGTTGATTGGGATTGCTTCTGGATTATCCGCATGAGCAATGAGTTCCTCTAGCCGAACAAGAGCACTTTCGCAGTACCATCGTTTCATTTCATCGATAATGTCGGCATTGACTTGGGTACACATTTGTTGCTCTTGCTTAGTCAAATCAATGGGACGCTGATTGTCATCCAATGCTACTTCATTATCTTCACGTCCAATGATCATCTTGAGTACATTCGCCTTGTCCTGAGGATGTGTAGCCCGGGCATGCTCTACACAAATTTTGCTGGTCGCTTCCAGCACATTGCTGACACCTCCGAGCACACCTTCGGAGGAATCGAGTGAATCCTCAAACTTTTCCCATTCCGATTGCGGAATGATAACCGCCAGTTTGTCCGATTTCAATGCCGAAAAGAACTCAAAGGCACACCAAGCTCTGGACAAGGCAATGGGCTGAGTCCAGGGTACCAGCAGCCCGAGGACTACCTCGACCGCTTGTACCTTTTGTTGAAAAATGTTTCGAAAAACAGAAAAGGGAACAGGGTCACGGAGCGTCCGGAATTGATTGAGACAAACAAAACAGATCCAGACGCGAGTAGTTTGTGGATCGTGCTTGTTTTGTTGACAAAACTCTTGGATGGCATCGACGACACGATAATCCCACGAATAGGAAAGCATCATGTCGGCTCTTCCCGCATTTGGATCTGTTACTAGAAGTCTATAGAATCATCTGATTCTATAGAATGGGGAAAAAATCTGTAGAATGGTCTGATTCTATAGAATACCTGAGGAAGGTATACTAGAATTCTATAGAATCAGATCAATCTATAGAATCAAAGTATGTGGGAATCTGTAGAAATCATATTCTATAGAATCACACATCATATTCTGTAGAATCACACATCATATTCTATAGAATCAATTAAATTTTCTCTTGATTCTATAGAATCATCTTCTATTTTTTCTGATTCTATAGAATAAAACATGAAAATCTGTAGAATGTTGTTGCTCTGTGATACTACCGGTAGTACTGTTGTTGCCATTGGACGACATTGAGGCTGGTGATAGGGCATGCATCAATCCACAGACTTTACTCTCCTCTCTTCTTGTTATCCGGATCGATCGATTGATCGATTGATCGTGGACAATGGTTGATGGTTGATTGTTGATTGTTGCTCTTCAAATTCCACCAACTTGAATGTCAGTGGCCAAGAACTGACTGCCATCCCATGGTCCATAGAATTCAATGAGGGATGGCTTTCAGTTCTGCACCGGAGACGGTCGGCTTGAGTGAGGCTTGATAGAAGAGGTGCAACGATCCCATTCGAATAATTCAAGAACAACTCGCCGAGATCTGACTGCCTTCCCTCAGTCCATAGAAATAAATGAGGGATGGCTTTCGAATCTGCACCTTCAACAACACTCTTGATAATCAATCCATTGATAGATTCAACAATACCGGTACATGAAGACTGATGAGGCTGTCAATTCTATGAGAAGTCAGTGCTTTGCCTTCAATAATACACTTGATAATAGACTTACCTTATTGCAATACGACTGTAGTAGCAGTAGCAGTAGCAGTAGCAGTAGTAGTAGCAGTAGTAGCGATGGATTGATCCACTATCCACTGATGAGGCTGTGGCACAACGCCATGTGTTGCTGCTGTTGTTGTTTGTTGCTCTTGCTGGTGCCGCTGTGGAAGGGTGCTGTGACCTTTCTGTGCCCTTCCCATTCTATAGAATGAAAACCGCTGATTCTATAGAATGGTCTCTGATTCTATAGAATGGCAAATTCCATAGACTTCTAGCATCAGATCCTTGAAAATATCCACCATGGCAGATCCAGGTGCTCCATCTCGAGGGCAGCGGAGCTGTTTATACGTTTCATTTTGCATATACTGCTGAACAACATCCCGACAGGTGTCGGATGGACAAACTTGTAACTCTTGCAGAAACTCTCGGGAGAGATATTGGACGCTTAGGGCTCTCATGGGATCGCCTGGTTGGCCTGCACAAACATCATTGGGATCTCTCATAAAGATGGTGATGCATGTATGTTTATTGAAGGTTAAAGGGGTGATTCAAACTTCTAGCTAGGAGCACAGTAGTAGAAACGGGTTGAGGTCGCCCTGAAGGCCTCAGCATACCATTGTGTGCACAATTATTGATGAGGCTGGCCTACCCCCCTTTGCCACCATTGGACACGTCATCACATCTCCAGTGACCAAAAAGAACGTGCCGACGTGTCTCAGAATACCGAGTAACGTTAGAAGCCAGAGGATTTCGCAGAACATCCGTTTTGAACAGGTGATCCATTTCTCAGTGATAGCAAAGATCCGAGCGTCCAGGCAACACCAAGCCAGTGGGGTCACACTTCTATGGAAGGTGCTGCCCATAGCAGGGTGGGGGTCAGGTTCCACAAACAACCCTTCCTCAGCCACTCACCTGGGGGTGAGATCACAAGGGCTGCAGCAGCAGTACCGGTAGTGACAGCAATGCAAGCAAGCAGACATGACAGCCAGAGCAAACGAGCAACAAGTATGTCAAAAGAGGGAGACTCTCAATATTTGCAAAGCTGATTCTTGTTATACCGAACATATCCCTACCACTAGCTAGACTATATTTATTCAAACTTCAACGGTTTCACGGACTTCATCCTCGGGTATGCCCTGCAGAACTCTTATTGGATCTTTCTCGTCTTCAAAGTTTGAATGGTCATCATCAGAACCGGCCGAACGCACTGAGGACCTCGCTGAAATTGTTGTTGTTCCTCCCTTGATTGGGTCCGGGATGATGTTAACCCAATAGGTTTGCATTTCACCTTTTCCTTTGGCGACAACCTTGTCTTCTCGTGGGGTCAACCACTGGAGCGTTCCTCAATCGTGCATGAAACCGACCCTAAAATGGGGTCGGATTTAGGGTCGGATTCCCTTTAGGGTCGGGTTTCGAAACCGACCCTAAAAATAGGACGTTTTCTGAAAAATAGGGACGGTTTCTGAAAAACGTCCCTAATTTAGGGACGGGTTTGATTTAGGGTCGGGTTTCGAAACCGTCCCTATATTTAACGACGGATTCCCCCAAACCGACCCTAAATTAGGGTCGGATTTAAAGTCATGCACGATTGAGGAACGCTCCTGGCCCTTGCCAGACTCGATAATAGAATCAGCCGTAGCCTTGCTGACTTGGATTTTTCCTTTCATACCGTTGCTTTCTATACAGGAACACGTCTCCCCTGATTTAGAGGCGAGATGACACTTAGAGCGAGACTGGCCGGGCGAGAGCGAAAAGGAGAGCCAACGGCTCGGAACGCGCGAGACAGATCAATCAGTGGAGATGTGTTAATGTTGGAACCCGATGAGAAGTGCTCCTAAGTAACAAAATGTGACGGTTAAAATATCAAGTCCAGACTCAGTGAGTTCGGGTCGGGACTTTTCCTCCAAACTTCAACTTCACGTAGACTAACTACTAGGGGCTACACAAACTGCACTAATTTCTTCGAGACGGGTTCCATCCGAGATGCTGTGTTCACTGTGTCTCCAAACCTGCCACACGCACACAAGACAAAAGTGAGAACCTGGAATCAGGTGGGGACATGCCGCGGAGACAGAGGCAATACTTACAATTGGAAGCGGCCCTTCTCTCCACGAAGGACTCCAGCTGATGTCTCGAAAACAAAAAAGTAGATTAGGGCACCTCCACTCTTGACAACTCGGCCGGCAAGAGATAGTTGACATTACGTACCCGTCGTCGAGCCCGAATGGAGGCCAACTCGCATTTCCAAATTCATGGTGTCTTCACCAAGGGAATCCGCCAGCTCGCGAGTTAGACGGTGCATATCGGACATGCAGTCGCGAGCAAATTTGGCCATGATCACGGCGTGGTGCTTCTGAGGTTCCGGGATGCCTGTGTCAGGTTTCAATTGTTGAGTGGTGGAGATCGGTAAGAAACGGTATTAACTGTACGAAAGACGTGTTCCAGTATGCCCCATTTACGTACCAGTCACTGCACGTAGCAATCTCCAATCGTTTCGACCTTGAAGACTTTGCGACGCTGTTGCGGAAAGACAGAAAGTGGGTGAGAATCAAAAATCTTGTGCGAGCCCATATGCTATCCACCGTTGCTCGCTCACCTTGGCAATAACATCAAAGGCGCCGTAGAGTTTCTCCAACAGCTCAAAGACTTCCACCGGTGTTCGTTTGCCGCTCCAAGCGGTGAACCCCGCCAGGTCCGCAAAGAAGATTGTGGTGTCGTGAAAGAGATCGGCAATCGGCTTGGACCCGTTGAGGGAGGAAGAAACACCCGCCATGTCCGTCATTTTGAATTCCGTGAGCGTCCGGTTGGCCCTTTGTTCCTGCTGCTTTTCTTCGTACAGCGCCTGGTTGACCTTTTCCGGGAACAACGAGGAAACAATGGCCCCCGATGCCAGCGCTCGTTGCATGACGATGCGCTGTCGTCGAGAACACGCACCTTGGTCTTTTTCAGCCACATGGTTCGAAACCTTCTATTTTACTGTACCTATAAATACGAGTACGCAATAGATTCGATCCAGGTTGACCGCCGTTTTCGATTGATTTTAGGTTGGAGAACTATGACCCTTAAGTAGAAATCGAATCAACGGCTATTTTTCTGCACCTCTAACGTCATAACGGAATGAATTTTTTTCAGCGACCATGTGTAAAAATTTCAATTCCTACTCAACGTTGAGTAAGCGTAAACTCTCGAATTTGTACGATTCAATCCAATTTTACTTTTGTTTGAATCTTGAGCTATGCCCAGTACCGAGATAGCGTAATTCCTTAAATCCATCTGTTCCTGAGGGACAGCAACTGAGTCCGTGCAATATATTTTGAAATTGATATTGCAATCCGGAATACACGTATGCGTTGATCTGTGATGTGATTCGAATTTCGATAGATGTGCTTGGCGTTGATGTCAATCGTACGAACGAAGTAGTAAACCATATCTTTTAGCTACAATAATGAAACATCAATTTCTGGCACAAATCGTATGACATACAGTTGTTCTAGAATTTGATTTATCACAATTGTTGCTACCTATCGGGGTTCTAAGCTAACGGAAGCTTAAGAGAGGAGGAACGGCGTTGACACCAATGCGAAGGCTGAAATCGACCGATCGACCAAAGTTACTCCTTTCATTCCTCACTTCTGCTCTCATAATCTCCAACCAACAAAGCTAGAAACCAATCTATCTTCATTTTCTTTCTTACCATGACGGATGGTGTTGTCCATTCCATCCACATACCTCCACATGGCACCCTCGATCCTCAACAAAACATCACACCCCGGACCACACGGAACTAGAAGTGCCGGCATCTTCTGATCATCCATCTCGTCTTCATCTGGACTACTACCCATGACCATGACGCCGTTTCCTTGTGGGGTAAGTGCCGATGGTTGACGAGGAATGTATTGTGTTCCATAGGGTACTTGCTCACGAAATACTCCCATTTTCGCTTTGTACAGACCACGTGGATCGACCATTGATGAAAAACCTTCATGGGCAAAATGAAGACCATGACCGTAGTTGTGTCGAGACGGGGCGGTACTACAGACGGGATAGTGGGGACGTGGTGGGACGTATGATTGACGCCGAAGACGTTCAAGTTCCATTCTTTCGGAATCCATTGCCATCATTTGTTGCGACCGAAGGTATTCCAGTTCCTGGCGTTCGGATTCGGACAACCCATTCCCGAAACTTCCTTGATGGGGCAACGGAATGGTGGGCATCATGACTGGACCACCGCGGCACTCTTCATGAGAGTATCCCATGGTGCGACCGATGGAATATTGAGGTGGATATTCTTCCATGGAAGGGGCCCGTGGAATTGTCGAACTACCCGTGGACCGATCAAGATTGGTGGCGGTTTCGGGTGGCGACTTCCGTTTGTTGTTATCTCCTACCGTGGACTTGGCAATGGCGGCGAAACGACTTGCATCATGGACGGCCGAGTGCTCATTATACTCACCTTGAGTCTCAATATTCTTGTGACGCATGAACTTGGCAACGACGTGAGGGTCCACGTTCTGTCCCTTCATGACCGTGCACGCTTTCGCTCGGATGGCCTGACCTGTACCCGTTATTTCGGCATTCTGGACACCAATCTGGGTTCACAACTTCTTGAATTGAGTGGTGATGGCATTGTGACCGATGTTTCCAGGATGACGGTTCATGGCGACGTTGGCAGGTTTGTACCAAATGTCATAGTCAACGATTTGTTTCGGGTCATGAGGATTTTGGGCGTTGTACTCGATGTCACGGAGTTTCATGGCGGCATTCTCCTTCTGACGCTCTTTATCAGTCATTGGGTAGGCGTAAAAGCTGACTTGATCCGGATGGGTATGACCCAAGTATGCGTCCCACCAAGTGATCATCTTCCAAGCGAGTCCATCTTGGTCAACAAAGGTATTGACTCTTTCATGATCGGGAGGAAGCTTGGTAGATCCAAACGTCAGTTGGTTGGTCTTATCCCAAGACACGAACATGCCACGCCATGGAGTACCAACAAGATCGGAACCACCGGCTTCTTCTTTCGAGAATATTCCGCTGCGACAATGGGAAAGAAGCGCATTGTAATGATCCATTTTGCCTCAGAATCCACTACCATAAGCGTTGGTGGCCATTGCGACGCGCAAGACATCCCATGAATCGGTGATCTTGAGAACTCCATTCGCAATTGCATCACACATGAGACCCATGAAGTCTTCTTTGATGCGTCGTCGATTGGGTTGGGCTCCAAAGGTCGGATCTTTCTTGTGTTGCTTGTTCCAAATGGCGGAAACGACACCACGGAGTTCTCCGGGTCCGTTGAAGTGGTTGTTGAATTCGAACAAGATTCCTTTGGAGTGAAACACATTGTACGTGTTCTGCAAATATTTTTCCAGACTGACTGGTTGCATGGGTTCCCCGACCGTACCTTTGGCACCCGTTTTCTTCACAATGTTGGTAGCCACCACGATCGATGCCGAGTTCATGATTTTCCGCTTCCATTCAGTCATTTCACCACCGACAATATTGAAGAAGGCGTAATCAAGATCGACAACATTGCGACTGAAATCATTGTATTTCACTGGTACAACTTCGAGAAGTGGTACGGCAAAACTTCCTCCAAACTCTCGAAGAGTGTCGAAAAATCGTGCTTCTTCCGAAGCCTTCCGCTTTTCAACTTTGGCCGTGTTCTTTCCACGTGTGGTATTGTTCACAGTCTCAGCGAGAGAAGGATCCATTCCATCATAACCTTTCTCTTGGATCAGGGCAAGAACATTTGCAGCAGCAGAATTGGGTGGAGCTTCTCGCCCAGGAAGTCGAGAAGGGTTGTGCGTTATACGGGGAAGAGGGCGAGAAAGTTTCTTTGGAGGAGCCTTCTTTTGCTGGTCCTTCTCTTGCTGGTCTCTCTTGTACGGATTCAACCTTGGCGTTACTGCGGCTGCAGATGGTGGTTGCACTTCCCCCGGAATCACAAAGGCCTCTGGTGGTTCTGGCATTTGTCCAAAGTGACGGTCTTGTCGGAAAAAGCGATCATCAAAGGTGGCATAATTGATTTGTCGCTGATTCTCTTCGTGTCGTGCATCCTTCTTCTGTTGAGCTTCCACACGACGACGTTTGGCCCTGTCATTGGCGTTCTCTTCTTCAGGAAGAGTGGAGTTTCGAAGCCCAAGAAGAACACCAGCATTCTCTACTTGCGACATGGTGGCATTGGAGAAGATGTTTTCCTTGTTGGCATTGCGCACCATGGCCGTTGAATTCATGATCTCTGGAGAGCCTTGGAATTCTGCTTCTTCATTGGAATTCCAATCTACATCATTTTCAAACTTCACTTGCTTCACAAGGCTAGGAGGAGGATGAAAAGGATCACAATCTCTGGCGCCCATGAACACTGCTTCTCCATGATTGACGCGAGAGAGAACTCTTTGACCACGTGTCATGGGAGAATCAACAGGTGGTTGAACAGAAAGAGCAGCTCCGATCATCGACTTGGGAGAACTGTCTTCTTCTTCTTCGTCATCCTCACTTTCACTAGAGCTGGAAGTGGGTGGTGTCTTGAGAGTCAAAGGAGGTGATGATGGAGTTGGTGAGTGAGCAGGTTCAATCAAAGTATCGACTGTCCCATTGACCGTGGCTTCTTCGATTGCTGCTAGTTGTGACGAGAACGATCCTTCTACTTGGAAGCCGCCATTGCGTCTCATCGAACGCCGATTCATTGTGGAACAGAAAGGACTTCACTCCACTCGCTCAAACTCTCTGTAATGGTTGTCCTGTCCTCTTCGATTGTGTCAGAGCAAATTGCACCGTCTATTATTGAGGCTGGCCAATGATAACTTGCTTGTAAGTGAATAAGCCTACTAATCTATTGATGGATACTCCGAGTTGCACGAACCTGGGCGTTAACCGTCGGTTGGTTTCCCATAGTAACATACCTTCCACTTAGGAGCGCTCGGGCGGGACCTCCGACCTCGGCCAGTAACCTCCGACCATCGGCTCGCGCCTCGGTCTCGGTTACTTAAGGCCTCGGTCTCGGTCCGCCCTTGCTAACCTCGACCTTCCGGTCTCGGTTTCCTAAGCATGAAGGTCTGTTCTCTATAAGAAACGATGCAGTCGTAATCGATGAAAACGGCCGATGTAAAGACAAAGATGAGGGCCGCCAAGAGGGTAAACGTGAGGGGACCATGTGTGACGTATTCGTCTTCGAACGTTTGGGAGGGGTACAGGCCTTAGGGTGGTGGGACAGAACCAGTCCGACAGGGGAAGGCCGGTGTAGCTGCTACCCTCCGCGGATTGTTTGGTGCTGTCCATGAGCTGGTGAAGGGTTTGAGATCGCTCCAGGTAATCATATTTTGTATCATGGAGGTCTCCGCCTCCCAGATATGTGGTTTTGGGACCGTCCAGCCGGTAGGAAAAGGGCTTGCCGCAAGAATTTTTGAACACCGCGACGACACCATCGGTTCCCTCCGGCAAGATGTTTTGGATGTAATCCTTCCAAAAGTATGTGTACCAGTAGTACCCGAGGGGCTCCTGATCCTGGGAACGATCCAGACGGGGCGAATCCAAGGAATCGAAGCTGATTTCGCGCGAGGGAAGGCATGCATGGTGAGAGAGCGAAAACAAGTACAAGTACACCTACGGTGCCACTTACATTGGATAGATGATGAACCCGTTGGGTTCGGATGCGTTGCCGCGACCGGGCGTCAAGAAATTCTTGGAGTAGTTGACGGCAGCTTCGACCTGCAGGACTTCCTTGGATCGGACGCGTTGAGCAAGACATTGTCGCCGTTGGTGATGACGACCGTCTTGTTGTTGAGGGACTCTATGATGGATGCGATGGAAGTTTCCAACGCCACTCGCCATCCGTCGTAGTTGACGTTGAGAGGAAATCCCGGTTGGATCTCCACCACGGGATATCCTTGCCATGTGAGGACGTCTGTTGGGTGTATCGTGCAGTCATCCGGATGGATCCAGAGAAAAAGAGGATGAGGGCTACTTCAGCCTTATACAAAAACAAACACGGGTGATGATATGGTGTTGTACTTACAGTTGTTCATGTAGGGTGTTGGTTCGGCGTGTGCTTCCAATCCCTCGGCTCCGACGCTCCAAACAAAGGGCAAGACGGGCGACGTAAAGTTCGTGGAAAGGTCGGCCCAGTACTCGTCCGTCTTGGCTTGAACGGCCTTGGCCTCGTCGACCCACTCGAGATTGGAGGTGGAAAAGTTGAGCCATTTGGGGATTTCCTCCTGCTGCACCACGACACAATACCCGGAATTGTACGCCTTGCTCTGCTTGAGTAGCTTGGCGGAATGGTATCCCCAACGGGGCATGGTCACATAGGGCCAACCCTGGACATTTTTGGATTCGTCGGGCTCATTGTACGAGACGAGATGTCCCACAAAGGAATCGGTGGATCCCAAGACCTGATCAAACGTTCGTCCGACGCTCTCAAAGACAACGTCGGCGGCGCTACCAAACTTGCTTTCAAAGTCCTTTTCTTCCTGGGCAACCATGGTGGTAAAGACCAACGCCACCACGGTAGCGGCCGATGCCAGGAGGACCGCCAACACGATCATTCTCATGCAAAAGACCCAGCGACTTTCCCGTTCGGCGATCTCCTCTCGATCCTCCTTGGTCAGAGTCGCATGTTCGCTGTCGTAGCCCGACATGTTCACGCTAGATTCGTCATGAGGAGCTTCTTGCATGGTGGTGGTTGGTGTTGTCTCGTAGTACTAGTACAGTAGAATGAAGAAAATGTCCCTGATTTAGAAAGAAGCGCCGCACGAAAGATGGACTGTGTGGTGGTCAGGGAGACGGGGCCGTGGGAGTGACAGTCGAGGCGACGGAAGTGGTAGGCTTGGCTGGTCTCCAAAAGCAACGCAGAGGCTCACTTACTTGATTGATAATGGCACTTGGCAGTTGTTTTGGGAGAGGAAGGAGAATGGGAGCTGAGGGAGTGGTTTTGTGGTCTTTGCACTCGTTCCCGGCTACAACATACTAGCATCAACAGAGCTGAAGTCAACTGTTCCAACCTTCCCCCGCAAAGGCCAAAATCTTCCATTGCTACTCGCAGTCTCATCTGAAAAGTGATCGGTTGGGTGCAGAGGAGCAGCGAGTAATCTCGTTTGATTTGGTCCGCTTGCATTATTTTCATTTTGATCCTGACGGTAACGGGTTATTGCGGGGGCCGAGGTTCTATTTCGGTGAACGACTCGACTCCAGTCGTTCACTCAGCTCAGTCCTTTACTCGTGCCGGAAACTAGATAGACGGGTGTGTGTGTGATTGACTGTCGCTGCATGTATAGCTATGTGTAGATGTGACGTCGCTGCTTGCCAATCGACAGAGTTGGTACCAAGATGTTGTGGAGCAGTTTCACTGGTCTGTCCAAAGCAAGTTACCAAATGAAGTCTAAACACACGTACCGTACGGTACTCTTAGCCGGCTACAGTCCCCAAAGCAGAACGGCTCAGTCAATTTGAGAACATGCAATGTAAATTGGTTAGTTATCGTGTAATCCAATGATGTTCAAAGAGGTTGCAAACAACCTGAAAAATGGAATGAAAAAATGGGTGTCTTTCGTTTCGTGATACTCTTTGTTCCAACGCGCCAATGTATTGTACAGTACATGTAGCAACGGTCTCCAGTATCCTCCTGCGTTCGTATCGCACTACGGTTTATCAGCGGCATTTTCTTGTTCCTGTTCATTCGAGGGCGACGACGAGGTTGCCATGAGGGCTGTGCTGGGAATGATTGTGATTTGTCGTTCTTGCAACAACTGTTCCAATTTCTGAATGCGCAATTGGAGTTGCTGATTGTCCTCTTCCAATTGCAAGTTTTTGCTCTGAAAGGATCGTACGGTAATGGGATGCAGCGTAGCTTCCAAGAGCGCCCCGGCCAAATCATCCAATTCGTCATCGGGGACGGGTTGTTGTGTTTCTTGTTGAATCACGACAAAGACATCTTCAATTTCCTCACTGCTGTCACGACGACGTCCCGCATGCAATTCCACCAGCGAACATCCTTGTGCGGTCAAGGTAGCCGTCATGCTGGCCAAGAGTCCATCGATGTCGGGACCTCGTACCGTCAAGAGAGTGGCATCATTGCGAACGGCATTGCTGGCTTCGACGGAAAAGGCAAATTCCCCATGAGAGTGTGGTGACGTGTGTGCCGCCTGTATGAGCTTGAGCGTGGAGGATCGATCGGTATCCATAAAGAGCAAATTGCCAAGTCCAAGGGTACACCCTAGAATGACACCCAACAATTGTCCCATCAATCCGACACGCTGCACAATTGGCAATCGTCGTTGTCCCGGTAGAAAGTGGGGATGCGGCAATCCCATTCGATGACAAATGCGTTCCAACGTCCCTCCCGACAAGACACCGGCGGCATCGGAACAAATTTGACCAAAGGCTGCCGCCGAGAGTGTGGATAACCCAAATGTGACACCGATGGTACAGTCAATGGCATTGCCCGCCTGTAACATGACAGTCTGATCCATCAATCCGAAACCAATCATGGGGACGGCGCATTGTAGAAAATGACGGCGCAATTGCAAAGACGTAGGGAGTTCCACGGAACTAGCATTATCAGTAAAAGGAGCTGTGGTACTCTTGCATCGTTTCGCGATGATTGCTCTTGTCGGTTGTGGAGTTCTTTTGGCGGAAGATACACATGTTCGAACACAGGTCGATCGAAGAGCTACCAGTGAAGACATGGTGATCGCTTTCCTTTCTAGCTACGGTAGGGTCAAAATTGTGGGAGATTCGATTTTGTTCAAAGAAGAAAGAAGAGGGGTAGCTTTTGCCAATACCGGCATCCTCCCAAGCTTGAAGCAAACCAAGAACAATGCAAAGTTCAAATGTTCCCTTCCGCGCTATGGATATTGCGTTCTGATTCCGTAGCAATTGAAGTGATGTCGCGTTGCCACAACGAGTGCATTGCCCAGCATTCTTTCCTTGGCAGAACTTTGGCAACGTGGTGGATCTTCCTTCTGCCAGCATTTCAGGAGTCTCGCCGAGACTTGCATTGATGAATTTTCAATTGGATCCGGAACAAAGAAATGAGGCTCCTTGATGAGGTAGCGTTTAGCGTGGATCTTTCAGCAAGCCTATTGCCAGATGATCTTGTTCGCTGCAGCACCCATTCTTGAAAGACGCAGCATGCATGCAAGGCATCCAGGTTTGTTGATGTACAGACAGTAGTCATTGTATTCGTCTCTGCTGGTGTGCATCCATCCAATCACCAAACAAGAGACTTACAACAGCTCTTACAACCGTCATTTCTAGAATGATCATGCTGCCTCGGGCCAAGCCCGTGCTTGCTGTTGTTGGGAATTCGACTCACAGAGATATGCCCGTCATAACTCATGGCACCGGAGATTGGCCCAAGGAGCAAGAGATTAATGGGGTAGATACCCGGTGAGCTCCAAGATCAAGAGGTGCCAATATTGTCCTGTGGTTTCACAACATAATATCAAACAAAGAGCAAGCAGATACAGACAGACAACAATCACCATGTTTGGTCTCCGCTGTATCGACTCTTGCGCTATTCTTTCCGCCGTGTCTCCGTTTGGAGCACCATCTGTGCCTGTGCTGGAACAGACCACCGAGAAAGGTCTCCAATATGCCATTTATCTTCCCCCAAACTACGACACCACCAAATCCTACAACCTCCTGGTGCATCTCCATGGAGCTTGTGTACCCTACTTTTTGATGCTACGGGAACTCAAGCTCACCGGATATCTCCTTCAAGAACATTCCGTCCAGAATCTCATTGTTCTGGCACCTCACGATGCCACCAAATGGTCCCTATGGGTGGATGGAGACGCCGTTGACATGGCCACACAAGTCTTTGATGAACTGCTGCCACAAATCCAAAACAAGTATAACATTCAAAAGCAGTTCCTCCAAGGATTCAGCATGGGAGGCTTTGGCGCTGCCGTGCATGGACATCGCTTTGCCGCCACTGTCATTTGGGATGGAGCGTTGCATGATTGGGAATCTCTCTTGAAAACCAAGCTACCCTATGCACGACAACAATTTTCCAAAACCCCATTTACCGTACATCCTTACACGGGCAAACCTCCCGCCAAATCGCTCCTCATTGGTGGCTCCATGCCCAGTACCAAGGCAAGGGGAGAACAATGGCACCAGTACATGATGCACTCACAACGCGAAAACGTGGAACATCATCAATTTGTACCAACCACATTGGCACATGCCTACCGAACCTTTGCACTGGCACATTTTGACAAGGCCGTTGCACTCTGGATGGACCACTGATGACAGATGCACGCCCAACTCTTTGCTTACAACATACTGCTACAGATATACTGCTACCATGAAGGGCGTGGGTCCTCGTAAACTGAAATTTTGGTCGAATTCCAGATTCCTGCAAGGACTTCCACGGATTACCGTATCCCAGCCAGCAAATACGCCTTTCCAAAGGATCGAAGGCCCCAGTTTTCAGGTGGATGTACTGGTGCAGCCAGCTTCCTTATGGCCGGTCTTGGAAGATGTTCAGGCAAATGCATGCAACTGTTCTAACTGAAATGGATGACTCAGCCAATAGCTAGCCAATCAACTAATCGGGTCATTCTGGCAGGAAGGGTTCAGAAATCTCTAGTTCATGCACGATGAAGTGTGCTTGAAATGCCTGCTGCCACAATTTAATCAATTAGCTAAAGCAATACATGTATTCTCCTTTCCCCTCCCTGCCGATAATCTTGCATTGTTCGCCCTCTTGCTGCGGCGAGCGGCGAGCGGCGAGCGGCGAGAATTCACTGCTTGCTTGGAGTGTTATTGGCTGCTGAAGGGACTTTGACAACAAGGACACCAGGACAAAGTTGGCAGAAGCTGCAAAAGAAGTGACCAGAATAGGCATTGCCCAGGGGAAAGACCTTGAAGCCTTGAATGATGCGGGGATGGATTCGGCAGCCGGGAGCGCTTATGGTACCGGTAGCCCGCATGCCACATGGCCAAGCCACATGCCAACATCCGCGGAAGTTCTTGGAGGCATCATTGAAAAGGTGAAGTTCCGTTTGACGGTTTGACCCTTATGTGACCCTTATGTGTTTTGTAAGTGGCTTGTGCTTCTTACGGGACCTGCTGGTGTAAAAAGTGGGACCGGGTAACCGAGAGGCGGCGAAATTGACACCTCCAAGATTCGATTCTCGAACCATTATTCTTTCCTTTGATTTTGACAGCTTTTGACCATCTTCATCACAAGGACAGATGTACTGAGTCGCTGTGTCATATCATAGGAGCGAGGTAGCGGCTGTTCTGCAAGCCCCTTGTCTTCTGACTGAAGCAGCTCCTCCCCTCCTGCTCATTATTCACACTTTCATTCACTTCATTCTGTACCTGATCACTTCGGCCAAGCCTCTTTAGAAATCAAGCTCACCATGACCTCTTCAAAGCCCTCCAAGGATGATATCGATAGCTCGAACAACAGCGGCCAAACGGTCTGTCTCGAGGATGGTACGTCTTCGCTGCCGTGGGGTATCTTGTTCCAGCGCTGAGGTTTTCATTCTCACTCAGATTCCCCTGGCTGTTGGTTTATAAACAGAACCCAGCTTCCGTCCCTGCATGTTGCAAGTTCGCAGGCTCCAGTCAGTGGATGAGGAGGCAGTGTTGAAAGAAGAAGAGGAAGAAGTCCAACATCCCTGCAAAAGAACCTTTAAACCAAAGTACATTGTCGGCGCTGCATTCTTGGTGGCCACTATCATATTTGCAGTCTTCATGATCGGCTGGATGAAGAACAGTACCCTAGCCTCCTAAAGGCCAGGCCATGATCATTCAAACACTGGGAACTGCAGTGGCACTGATTCTGACGACAGCCAACTGTGTGGGAATCGTCAGCCCCCCCCCGTCGCGTAAGCTACCATTACTAGTATAATAGTCATGCATATCATCACTCTGGTGTCGTCTTCTACGGCATCTCGAAGGAACCAAATCAGGGGCGCCTGAAAGCCCGACAGTAGTGACTTCGGGACCGACAAACACAACCGCGCCATCACAAAGACAAATAGGAGTTCCATATCCTACGGTATGGTACCATTGTAAGCTTCATCGTGCCTGCTCCAACGACAATGTCCTGCCAGCCCAGCAAGAAACAGATGCTGGCAGTTTTTGGGCAGTCACACATTCCCAAATGGGCTGGTGAGCATGTTTGTACAGTACATGCCATTTCTGGACATGCTGTCATGCTGCATTTCATGGTCACCTGGAAAATTTGGAATGGTACCAGAGAAATATTGGCTGGCTTCCCGAGCACATCCAGTTTTGCTGCCTCCAATGGTCAATCGGCAGTTCGAAAGTGGGTCATGCAATGAATGGGTGGCACTGGGATGCGCAAACTTGCCACTTTGTTGGCCTACATGACCAGATGGGACTGCTCAACTGGGCTAGAAACCATGGACCCCCATGGGCGGACAACCTGTTCTGCAGCTGGCTGCTGAAAGGGGAGGACATTGTGAAGTGTCATTTCAAGGTTTTGAAGTGGGCTAAAGCAAAGCAAAGCCCTTTGGCCTTTGTCCCCAGTACCGACCCCCGCCCTGATCCCAAGAAACCCTGTCCTGAATTTTGACTCTCCTTGGCTGAAGCCTAGCCCTTGCTGGGTTCCACCTACTCTAAACCCAATGGGCGCCCTTGAACTTGAGAGACATCCAAAGCTGCTGCAGAGTTTGGTCATCTGGAGGAGTTGCTCCACTGTGGGCTCAAAAGAATGGACGCCCAGAAGAAGTGGAGGAGGGCAGGAAAACATGGAATGTTGACTCACACCTTAGATTGTTTGTACAAAAACTGCAGCGTATAGCTAGTAGATAGATAGCAACGTTGCCCATGCAGCCTGAATGCTACAACGGCATACATGTACGGTACCGGTACGGTACTGGTACCAGGTAGTACTAGTACATGTAGTTCGAGCTGCGAAAGATCGAGATCTTTTAGTGGATCCAATAGATTTTGTGACCTGTCATGCATCGGCCAACTCTGTACGCGGGACATCGTTCAAACAGAATAATTGCCGCGAGAGGTGGAGGCAGCCTTGGAGGGGACACAACGGCTGGAAATTTCAATCACCAAACAATGGAGTGAGCAGAGCAGAGTAGACCAACACCATCACCATTCCGTCTTGTTTCTTTCTTGTTGCATTCCGTTAGTATTCAGTAGTACTGTCACCACCATGACGAGCAACAACAACAACATCCACAACAATCGCAGTTGGCTGTCTTCGTCGTCGTTTGGATCGCAGGATGACCTGAGCACCGAGGACAACCACAACCACAACAATCACCACGCGTCTTTTGGTAGTGCTCGGAAACCCTCCCGAGACCGCTACAATCATTACCGGCGAGATGGTCCTGCCAAAGTGCGACCGTGGATGCGCGACAAGAAGGCAGTGACGGGATCCTCCTCTTCCGGTCGCCTGGCATCTTCGGCCTTTCGAGTGGGCAGTCGACCCGTGCTTTTGTCCGAAGCAACGAGTGGCAGTGTGTGCTCCAATTCTTGTGGCAATTCCGTGTCCTCGCAATCCTCCTTTCCGGATCAACAACAACAACAACGACCACTGCCGCGAGAAGTGGGTGCGGCACCCGTCTCTTCCAAGAGTGTTCTGTCCATGGCATCCGCCGAGAGAGAAGAAGATGTCTCCATGTTGACACTCAAAGAAGATGTCTCCATGATCACCACTTCTGTAGCAGCGGAAGAAGAAGACGAAACATCCACTAAACAACAACCTACTTGCGTAGCAGAAGAAAGCTATCTCACTGTCGAAGAACCCGTCATCTCGCACCATGGCGACAAACCAGCAGCAGACACACAATCGGTGCAATTGTCCGTGGAGGCTGTCCAAGATGAAAATGCCACGGTGGACAGCGATGGTGAGTCTGCGCCAGACTCTCCTCCGCCATTGGTACCATCCCTGGATGACGAAGACGACGAAGAAGCAACCAATGATGATGCTTCCAAGCATGACAACAAGGACAACCAGGAGAAAACTGCAGTCGAGGCTGAAAAGATTGTCGAAAGTGAGAGTTCACCACAAGAAGAAGCAACCTCTACTGAAATTGTGCCAGAGCCACCAAGCGACTCTGCAGCAGCAAACGACAATGCGGATCCAGTGGAAATGGCACCGAAAGAGACAGATCCTGCACCTGCGCTAGACAAAAAAGAAGAAACTTCACCATTCGATGAAGAGACTGTCGCCACCAATGACATTGACATCCCCGAAACCAACCATCCCGAGGAAGCTGTACAAACAACCGTCGAACCAGAAATTCCAGCTTCCGAACCAGTTTCCACCAGCATGCCAACAGCACCAGAGGAACCTCCCAAAACAATGCGAGACCCTCATGAGCATCACGAAGAAAAATCACAAAAAGAGGAAGAAGTATACGATGTGCTCGTACCGGTGCAACCGACTTCCTACAATCCCATGGCATTTCAAAGGCCGACATCTGTGGCGGCCTACGCCACGCTGGAAAAACCAACTCCTCTCGTCAAGGAACAAGCGGCGCTCTTGAACGATGCCATTCATGAAGTTGCATCCGAAGAGGAGCAAGAATCCTTTGACGAATATGATGATGTGACGACGCCGCACAATATTTCCACCGATTCACTGTTAGGTGTCCAGGCATTGGATACCACGCACGAAGATAGTGTCTTGGAGGGTGTGATGGAAGAAGATGACGAACTGAACATTAGTGCCGAAGAGGATGAATTCTTGAAAATGGTAAGTTTGGGTTTTGGCGAATGAAATAATTGACCCATGCTGAAGGTTCATCTCATTAGTCTTTTTCATGGATTGCAGTGGCCCAAATCAGTGGATCTCGCTGACTTGCCAGAGGTGGACCTTCCGGCCGATTGGAATGAGCAGCAAATGCTGGCTGTGGTGGCCACGCAAACCTGGATTCGCAGTCAACAACAACAACCCGTCGGTAGTCCGTCCAAAGAGGATCCCAAGGCGACCTATTGTTCGTATTTTGCGGCAGCGCTGTCGCATTGCCCGGCATTGACCACGGCATTTTATGCTGACGATGAGAGCTCGCAAAGCTGTTTCTGCCCCTGCAGTGCGCAGATGGGAAGTTGGAGGTCGCATCGGCTCTCCGCCAAGGAGGAGAAAGTACTGTTTGGGGAGACTGTGAAATGTGAGAGTCGACAATTTACACCCGTACAACTCTTGGAGCATTGCCACGAGACCACACAGAAAAGCGACGATACGGACAGTCGCTTTCTGCACTCCGTTGTGCACAAGTACTTGGAAGCCTTGTTTGGGGAAACCCATGAAGCGTTTGACAGTTTGGCGGAGAAACAGAAAGCGTGCGTTCCATTATTTGTTCCAGCTAGAATAAGGTCTCCTGCGTTGGTTACTAACTTCTTTAGTGTTGTTGAATGCAGGGAAATGGAAGCGGCAAAACAAGCTGACGCAGTGACAGTTTCAAAAGAACTAGTGGAGGAATTGGACCAACTCCGAGCAGAACTGGAACGTGTCAAGGCGGTAAGTGAAAGTTTGTTGAGTTTAGATGTGATGTAAACGAACTGCTGGGAAGCTGTCTAACCAGTATTTGCCCGTTGCACGTCGTAGTCAAACAACGAACTCACTGATCAGTTGAAGGTTGCCGCAGAACAGACTATGGTTCATGAAGCCAAGAGTATTGCAACAACCGCTTCTGTTGAAGCACAGGCTGCACAGATCAAAGACCTCACAGATGCTTCCCGAGAACTGGCCACTGTAAGTCTGTTCCTTCATGTGGGCATTGTTTGTCGAGTGAGACATGCCATGGCCGCCAACTAACCGAGTTTGTGTCTCGCCGGATAGTCGAATCAGGAGCTCCTGGAAAAGCTGAAAGCGGCAGAGGAGAATGGTCAGTCCTTCGAGGCCAAGAACGCTCAATTGACCAAGACCACCGAAGAGCAATCTCGTGAACTTCAGGATCTCAAAGAAGCCTCCCAGTCGCTGGCCGCTGTAAGTCTGCTTCCTGTCATCTTGAATCTCTTTGGAATGTGCTCTGTAAAAAATCCTAACTCTGTGATGTTGCTGTTCTGGCACATTGTAGTCTAACCAAGATCTGCTCGTGAAGCTGAAGTCAGCCGAGGAAAAAGGAGATGTGTTTGAGGCGAAAAGCCTCGCAGCAACAGCGTCCTCTGGTGAACAGGCTCAGCAGATCAAAGCACTCAAAGAATCCTCCGAGGCGCTCAAGAAGACTAACGCTGAGCTGAGCGAAAAACTAGCAACTGCAGAGAAGCAAAGAAAGGAGAACGAAGAAAAAAGCACTACAGCAGCCGCTTCCGTTGCGGAGCAGGAGGGGAGGCTAAAGGAGCAGGAAGAGAGGCTAAAGAAACTCGACGAAGAAATCCTTAGGTTTAGCAAGGTAAGTTTTTGCATCCCACTGCTGACGTCTACATGCCGCTTTTGGCACTCACCCGGTCTGGTCATTTGTGCTTTGTAGTCGAACGAGGAGTTGACAGAAAAACTCAAGGCTACCTCAGAGAAGCTACAAGATGCACATGCCTCATCAAAGGCTCAAGCAGACATGATGAATGCCATATGCGAAGAAATGAAACTGATGGAAGAGGTACGTTGCTTAGAAGCACGAGGTACGAAGACTTTTCATTGACTTGATGCCCACATCTCACCTGTGCCGTTCTTGTATCTATCACAGAAAAAGACTGAATTGGAGCAGAAGCTCAAAGACTCCGATGCCAGGGCGAAGGACCTAGAGGAGAAGCATGCCGCAGTTACAACTGCCGAGAATGAAGCCCTGGATCGAATACGGAAGCTGGAAGTGGCAAGGAACGATCTCGACCAGGTACGGCGCCAAGTCGCTCCGGGGAAACTTGCTGACTTGGCCTTGCTTGTTTGATGTTGTCTTACCAGCCTCTGTTCATTTAGGCCAACCTCGTGCTTACAAAGAAACTCAAAGGGGCAGAGGAGCGAGAACAAGCACAGGCTAGTCGAGATGAAAACGCATGTGTGGTCAACGTTGGAGATATGTCGGTCGACCTGAGGCGTTTCCAAGTACAGTGTCAAAAGTACTTTAGTACTTTGCGAGTGGTTCAGCTTAAGAGTCACTGTATCCGTGACAAGTCTCCTGCAAAGTTTACCGTTCCCTGCAATCCAAAAAATCGCGCTGTGATAGACATTCAAGCCCTTCTCGACAAAGGAGCAGCAATCGAATCGCAAGATGCAACCTACATGTTTCGGTCGCTGGATACCTTCAATAAAGGGCACTTCCATACGCACAAGCTCCTCCTCCCGTGGAAGATTGTAGGTGGAGGTAAGTGACTTCAGTATTCGGGACTGTGATACGATGAAGCGAGGGTGCCACCGCTAACTTTTGACTTCGGCCGTTACCTTGATGAAAGACGGCAACACTATCAGTCGCGCCCAATTCTTTTCTCAAGTGTGGGAACAACTGGGAGGGCTGAAAGTTAACGTTACGGATAAAAAGACGGAGGTCCCACTCTTCCAGGACAGCTTGGGAACGCTGATCCCAATGCCAAATGCTGTGTTGGAGGGAATGCTTCGGGTCACACCGGCGGAGTTGGACAGAGTATTTGCTGCTAGACTTGCTCCATATTATCGTGCCATCGGACGTCTAATGGTACAGTGTGTGGGAGCTACCGCAGATGACGGCGCCGATTACCGACAAAAAATCGCAGGTTCTGCCTTGCCTTACATCCTACGACAAAAGCTTTTCCGTGGTGTCGACCCAGTTGACGAAAGTTATCCGCTGGAGGATCTCCTGGACCATGCATTTTCCCTTCTTGGGATGGAAGGGATGACACGCGACAGAGCCTTTGAGTATTTTGGTATTGAGGCAAAGGACTACAATGACACTGCAGGAGCGGTGAAGCGTATCAGGGAAGAAGTGCACGAGATGTGGATCAAGGAACGATCCCTTGCACTCAAGGCACTCGAAGAAGGTCTCACTCTGAGTGGGCTTGCGGACCTTTCTTTCTGCTGCGGCTTGGTCCCACTAGAGGCTGTCAACGAAGTTATCTTTACTCAATAGACAAACAGTCGAAACAACACTGTTTCCACTCTACGTTACAATGTACCTCCTACCTTTGTATAGCTCCTTCTTGCTTCCTGAATCAGACTCTGCTAGCTAGACATGTTGCTTGAAGTGGATACTTCTCAAAGCACACAGGGTAGAATAAACAAACTCACTAAGACAGCAATAGAACTAAAGGCAAGAGTGATGTTGGTGCTTTTAGTAATTCGTTACGGTACGGTGCGCCACAGAGCAGGTTGCCGCAAGGTGCAAGATTCCTCATTGGAGAGCCTCACGAAGCTGAACTGTATCGTTCGAAAACACTGACAGAAGTCATGCCAGATGCAGCAAGACCATTGCCCTTGACGCACTTGTTGAATGTACCATAGTACACATGACCACCTCCTCCATTCGTCTCACAATAGACAAAGGCATTGCCACTTGCACTCCTGTTGTTGTCGATGCGTCCACGATACACATGCTGACGAAGTTCCTTGGCTCTGACAGGGTACTTGCACCTGCATTGTTTGCGCGCAGAAGAAAGGAAGGCAAAAGTTGCTACAGCATGAGAGAGATAGAGGGATTTTCCTGGATACAACCGGCTTTCCAGCCATGTGCTTTGGAGGGTTCGACATAATATGCAAACGATGATGTTGAGCCTACCTGCACATGTAGACGCATCCCTTCTTATCTCTCCATCCGTAAGCACGAGACAGGGCATGCGCACAATTCGTGCCTGGAATCTCGGTGCCACAGTCGGGGCAAACAAACGATTTCTGGCCGCTTGGACAAGTGGACATGGCTGCGACAAAAACTTGCAGCGCTCGGACAAGCTATTTGTTTTGGTTGTGTTGTTGCTACCAGGTACTAGGCGTACGCTACGGGCAAGTGGGACATGCAACGGATTTGTGAGGCGCTCAATCAGCGACCTTTTCTCATCAAGATACCATACGGTAGATGTGGCGTTCTCCCGTTCGAATTGTGATTGAATCATTCCACGCTCAACGGGCCACCCCCCAAGCTTTCAAGCTGTTTCACCGTGCACTTGCTCCTCCACGTGGCCACGGCGCCTTTTCGAGAGTCGAAGATTCCTCCTCGCCTTCTTTGCTTGCCGTTTTCCATAGCTAAAAAGTACTAAAGAGGGCACATTGGAAGCTACATGTACGAACGGGCATTCTCTTAGCTTGTAAGCCCAAAGCATCTTGCCCTTGAGCGAGTTCCGGGCTCGATAAGGAAATCAGCAGCAAAACAGACGAAAGCGCCTGCGCACACAGCCACTTCATATCTTTTCAGTCTCTCTACTAGGGACTTCTCTAAGAAACAACCGAGTCCAAACCACACAACTCAAAATAAAAACATTTCCTTCCAATAATTTCTGCCGCTATTTGTTTTCTGTTCTGTAGTTTGTGGCACATTTACTTGGTCTGGTTCTTGACACCCTCAATACGAGCACGAATGGCATCTTGATCCCCAAGGTAACGTCCTTGAAGGGGCGCAATGGCACCTTCTTGTGGGATGGGCTTGAGGTTGTCATCCAATTCGTAGATCAAAGGAGTTCCTGTGGGGATGTTCAATTCAGAAATTGTGGATTCATCAATGCCATCCAAATGCTTGACCAATGCTCGCAACGAGTTTCCGTGAGCGGCAATCATGACGGTCTTTCCGTCCTTGATTTGGGGCACAATGGATTCGTTCCAGTAGGGGACGACACGGTCCAAGGTAGTGGCCAAGGACTCAGTGAATTCGTCTGCGAATTCGAATCCGGCATAACGAGGATCATTGTCGGGATGGTGGGGACTGGAACGGTCCACGGTAGGAGGAGGAACATCGTAACTACGACGCCAGACCAAGACCTGGTCTTTTCCGAACTTGTCGACAGTCTCTTGCTTGTCCAGTCCCTGAAGGGCGCCTAGTTTTCAATCAGGTACACAAAGTGAAAAATCGGTGTTTGTTGTGGTGGTGTTTCGAGAGGGGAGACATGGGGATAATTGGGCGAGTGTATAAAAACAATAATGAAGGGTCAAGAGCGAGAAGTTTATTGAAAAATGAAACAAAGTCAGATTCATGTCATTTTAGAAGTCAGACATCCTAAACCCCAAAAACTGATCCTCTTTCCAGAGACGTACCGTAGTGACGTTCGTTAAGCTGCCATGCCTTTTGGACGGGGATCCACATCAATTCCGATTGTTCCAAAACATGCCACAGGGTGCGAATGGCACGCTGAAGAAGAGATGTATGGGCAATATCAGGCTTGATACCTTCCTTCTTGAGCAACTGACCGGCCTCCTTGACTTCTTCGTGTCCCTTGGGGCTCAAAGGGCAGTCATACCATCCAGTGAACTTGTTCTCGAGATTCCAGGTAGATTCTCCGTGTCGAACCAAAACCAAAGTGTGCTTGTCGGCAGCCTGTTGGCTCACAACAAAACTGAATTAAAGAGAGAAGGAAAAAGGTTATAATGTTAGCAAGAGTATGGGTATGAGTAGCTGACTTGGTGAAGGATAATAATCACAGAGAAAGTAAAAAGGCAGATAATCTCTCCATGCTTCTCCAGGATGCGAAGCCCGCCAAAATAAAAGATACCCAAAGTATCTTTCGCAAACTCCAGACTTCCAACTTGCTTTACCTTACCTGCGACGGAGAGCAGCTCTGGAGGCAAGAGAAACGGTGGATCGGCTCAAGGCAAACATGGTTTCAAAGGAATAATTGAGGAATATAATGAGAATTACTGGCTACAGCCCGCAACTTCTTGTGTGTGAAGGAACAAAGCAACGGCCACAATTGCACGACGAGAGGCAACGAGAAAGCCTGTGACCTTCCCACTTCCCACCACCCACCACCATGCATCCCAAGATCCATCTGCTCTATGACGTCACGATCCATGAGGTATCTTTTGATCTCTACCCTTAAGATTAAGCCAGCACAACTATTTGACTTGTCAAAACTGCCACCCAGGTGCAAGCCATAACAGTATGTATGATACCGGTATCATAGTAGAGTGAGGGAGTGGTACCGGTAGATAGCTTTGCCACCAAGAACCTAGGAAGGTGCGGGCCGAGAGGTGCGGATTTTATACTAGTACCACCGAGGTGCTTCCGTACCGTACCGGTAGGTGCAGATGTTTCTGCCACCGAGGTGTGCGCCGTAGAGGTGCAGATTGGTCTGCAACCGAGGTGTGCACCCCAGAGGCGCAGATGTTCTTCTCCCGCCAGGTGGGTGCCCTATAGAAGAGGCACCGTCGTAGCAGAAACCCAGTGGACAGCCACTTATACTTGACTTGATACTGAAGGCGGCTGAATTGGGGACAGTCGCAACTTCTGATGCCCTACAAACACATTGCATCACACTTGCGAGCTAGCTCAATATTGATTTCTTCCACTGCTGCTGACGTTTCCTGATTGTGTCTAACGACTGAGGAGCTAAGAGCTTGCTCTAGCTAGTCTAGTCAAGCACCAACTGACTCTGCTACAGATTTGCAATAGCGCTGCACAAGCGCAGTTAGCCACTGCTTGCTGGGGAAGTCACATTAACTGCCTGATAGCCTTTTCCTCGATCAGAGAAGTGCAGTGTTCACTTGCTAGCTACTAGTGGCGAGAAGCAAGGAAAATACCTTCGTGCTTCCCAGCAAGAACCCATGCACCTGTTTTTACAGACGAAACCATGCAGCCAATTCAAGTCATTGCTTGAGTGGTCTTGCACAAGATAGATGTAATACTCCTAGCTACCGTAGTAGTAGATCTAAAGTATACAAAAGCGACAATAATTATTATAATTGGAATCAAGCGATAGCTACATGTAATCCGCTCGGTAATCAAGCATCCTCGACCTCGCACTCCTCGACCGTCACTCCTCCAGTACTATTTATTTGTGGACGCCTTGGATTGCATCTGGTGGCACGTCAGTCTGACATTTTGGCTGCGACATGGCCGCAACGCATGGCCAGCTCCACTCTTCCACCGGTAGACAATGGTACTGTAGCTCCAATGCTCCATGCTCCATCCTCTCCATCGGTACGGTACCAGTACAGTGTACAGTATCCCCCCTCGATCCACAGAATGCGTTGATGAGGCCAAAGAGTCCGCGGATGGTTCGGTTGGCGTCTCCAATGAGAAGGGGAAGCTCAATAATGCTTTTTCATTCCTGAATCGCCAGTACTACTGTACCACTTTTGACTTTAGCGTGGAATGGACAAAAATAAATCTAAAAAAAGAGCAGAAACAAAGAACAGGAAGCTCAGCGGCGACCTACAGTGGCATCACCGTAGATTTTGCGTACAAACCTACTGTACTACCGGTACGACGGAGGTCTTTTTCAGGACTGCCGCTCAACACTCAATAGCCAGATAGATCTTTAGAAGGAGCTCTGGCTGGTTTTCCTTGAGGGTGGGTGGTGAAATCGAATGCAGCAACTGTTGATTTGGATGCGGCATCGGCAACCTGTGTGACCTGGTTACTCTTTTAGAAACACATTCCATCGTCTCCAGTCCACCATCTCTCCACAACGGCTCTCTCGTGCATCACTCCCAACGCATTACTAGGGACCTTGGTTTAGCGGAGAAAGAGGATAAACAGCCTAGCAAGATGGCGATGTTTCTCAATCGGCTCATCAGGAACAATGCACCTGAAGGCGTCGAGTTGGATGGGGTGCAACCGGCGGGTGCCGATTCCAAGCTAGACGCCTCGATCGATCCTTTTGATGAGGCGGCGATCAAAGGTGAGAGCCTTTCCAACCCACAGGATGACCTTTTGATTGGTACCAAGCCAAGCGAAGAAGAAGAAGACAACGACGACCAAGAAGACCCCAAACAACAGAGACGACGGGACAACCGACGAACCAGCGGAAGGCGTTCCAGCCGAAGTACGAGCCGTGGCCGTCGCAGCAGAAGTTCCAGCTCCGTTCGAGATCCAAGCAGCAGAAGTGTCAGCCGCAGCAGTCGAGGCATTGGTAGTAGGAACTCCAGCTCCCGCTCTCTTCGAGATCCTCGAAGCAGGAGTACCTCGGTCAGCAGTAGTCGGGGCAACAGGAGAACATCGAGTCATGGCGGTGGGTTGGACAAAGGAGCAGTGAAGCAACAACAAATCATGCAGATGCTGGAAGCCAAGTTCGTTTCATCGGCGGCATCGGAAGCTCCCTCTGGTCTCGAGAAAAAGACACAGTCGTTGCCAAGCTTTCACCGCCGTACCAGTAGCAGCAAGGACCAAAGCAAGACAGGCAAACGAAACTGGAGTCCTCATGACAGCTGGAGTCCCCAAAACACCACCGTAAATGACGGCGCCACCATCACTAGCAGCAACAGCAGCAGCAATTCAATGCATCGAAGCGCTTCCAACCCAGGGTTGACGATCACGAAGACGGCGCCGAAATCGAGAGATCGTCTGACAAAGCACCCCAGCCGATCCAACTTGCAGTCTCGCTCCGCTGACTTTCGGAGCAATATCACCACCAAGCAGAGTGACACCGAGACAAAGAGTGCTCCAAAGCCACCGGCGGCAAAAACTCCAAGGAGACGACGAGTCAATTCCTTTAGCAGTGAGAGAATGATGAAAATCCAACAAACTCCCGGAAATGACACATGTGCTGACTGCCCCACCAAGAGTCCAGCGTGGGCAGTCTTCCTCAAGAAGAAGAATCAGGAGGGTGCCAAAATGGCTGTCTTATGCTGCCGCAAATGCGCACAGCATCACCACTACATGCTAGGCGAGGATCGTTGCAAAATCAAATACATCAAAATGGCGCACGAATGTAAGTAGGAAATGATGCAGTGCCTTCCGTATCGTCGATTCATTCATTTCATTCATTCATTCAATGATTTGCTCATCCCTTTGATTTCCAATTTTTCTCAGGGACGGAAATCAACTTTCAAATCTTGGAAGGAAGCGGAAACGCTGCTGTCAACGAGATCTTTGAAGCCAGACTCACCGACAGGAGATTCTGCAAAAATGTTGTCATGGACGACGAAAAGCGGGAGAAGAAGAGAAGAGCCAAATTCATCAAGAAAAAGTACAAAATGAGAAAGTATGTTGCTAGGGACGACGAGGAACGCGAACGTGCTGCGAAGCGCCGGGAAACCATCCGCCGACGAGCGAGTTCCCGCCAGCGCCGTTCTTCTTCGAGACAACTTCGTGCAAGTGATATGCATCTTAGGCGAGCCAGCACCACCACGTCAACCCGAAAGCAAAAAGACGATCCTCCCCTCGTGCGAGCCAATACTACTCCTCCCACGACAACACCCGAGTCTCCCATCCAACGCCGAGAAGAAAATACGCTACCAGAGCCTGATATTATGTTGCCCATCATCAAACCATCACCCATTGTGCGATCCATAAGTAGTCCAACGCAAAAACGCCAACGCCACTCGGTTGCCATCGACCAATTACAACGTCGTGAACTTGATGCCATGCGCATTACCCTGCACGATCTGCCACCGCTTATACGATCCACAACGACCCCAATGCCAAATGTGCGCCGTGATTCTTATGCGTCTCAGTCAGGTACAACCATCGACAATTTAAAATCAAATTTGGACGCATCGTGCAACCGACTCGAACAACGATTCCAACAAAAGGTACTCGAACGGCAGAAGCTACTGGAACGACGGAGGCTTTTGGATGATTCCAAGTGCAACAGCCTCGAGACAACCGCAGCGGCTACAAAACCGGAGTCATCTCCCTCTTTAGGTACGGACTCAAAACAGAACAGGGCCAGCCGATCCAAGCGATTAGCTGCAGATGCAGACAGCCAGGACGACACGATTGCCTCAGCAGAGCAAGACGGGACCGATACCTCACCGAGTCAGGAACCCTCGTTGTCCCACAAGAACCGGATCACCAGTCTGAATTCGCTCTCCTCTGTGAATAGACAAGGTTCACGTGATGGCAATCCACTCTCGCGCCACAAGAAGAGCAAAAGCTATTGCTCCATGTCAAAGGTTGACTCGATGGATGCGACTGCCAAAAGTCAAGAGACGAATTACCTGCCTTGCGCTCTGAAACTCGAACCAATGAGAAGGGTATCCAACAAAACTGCCAACACGCATGGGGTGCATGAGAAATGGTCTGCCATGACTACCAATCCAATCGTAGGGCAGTAGTTGTGAACGGCGAAACGACCAACTCTGGTCAGTTGTAAGCGAGTCTACCTAGCTAGAGTTTATGTCTTTGTTGTCTTCGTACTACTGTTCTGTCCGAATGCGCTGGAGAACACCACTTTTGGACGCCAGCCAACGTAAACATAATTGACATGGCTCTTTTCTCGAAAGATTGAATTCCTGCAGTGCCAAGCTCTGTTCAAGCCTCCGATTTGATAGAATCATTGACAATTGCTTTCGCGATTTCTACGATGTCGTCTTGGCCAAGTCGCATTGCTCGGACCTCAACCTCTTCAACGCGCCTGGGGGAAAGCAATGTTGTGTTTGCTAGGGCGGTCAGCCTTTCCGCGACTTCTTTGCCAGAGCCAGTCTCCAAGCTGAATCTGATCGTTTGCTCGAGAGACTCGAGATCCCAAAAGAATCGGCGGATACGTGCGAAACCACGTCGTGGGTGGACAGACAACATGGACGCAATGTGAAGAAAGCTGTCGAGACCCACCCAGCGCTTGCCGGAATCTATTCGCGGTGGCATTTGGCGGTCGATACAGAACTGGACGAAACGCACCGAGACTTCATCAAGCTCTGCAATAGCCTCAAAATGATCACGCGATTGCTTCTCTGGCGGCATCCGGGGATTCTTTGAATTGACAAACTCATCCACCATTGGTTCAAGTTCCTTTAAAGTCACAATGACAAGATCAAACGAGGCCTCATTGTCAAGGACGTCCAAGATCCTTGATTTCAGCTCGTTCAGTTTCCGTGTCAGGCTGCTAAGTTGAGCCGCCAGGACTTCGGCGTGAGTGGGTTCTTTCCTGTCGAGTGCATGATCTGTCGTCCCTTGAAATAAGCATCGCTGAATGGTGTCAAGATCCTTTTCAACGTGCTCTTGGCTCGCCTTGACAACTAGGTCACGGACAAGGGGAGCTCCAGTCTCGAATCCTCGAGCCACAGCTAGAGACACGGCCAGCTGATGAATCTTGATCGGAGTGTCGGGAGGCTCCAAAAGCGTCAACGACTGGTCCATCTTGGCTTCCAGGCTTGCGCGAAGAAACTCCAATGCATCGTCCACTAGTGCAGTCGCATCTGCCGACGTGTCTTGGTATCGATCATGTATTTCACCGAGAATGCTCTTGAGGAGCCGATGCACACTGAATTCGCATATTGCCTTTAACGCCTTGTGCTGATGAAAGAACGTGTCCACCATTTTGGCTTCCAAGGAGTTCTTGTTGCTTGCCGTTGTCGCAGATAAAACAGCAATGGCCGGTGCCTCCTCGATCACTAACAGCTTATCGATAGGATTGTCGGCACTGGCGTTCTTGAGAGAGCCCGTGCCGTTGTGTTCCGCGACGCCCTTGCTCAACATGAGAGGTCGCAGCTTTCTCGAGATTCCCGGGCTTCGCGCGGATGCTCTAATGTTGTCGTCCCGAGACAAATGGGAAACCAGCGAGACCAAATCCTCAAGTCGCGGGTTGACTGCAAACAGGGTAGACATGCGAAAACTCAAAGGCGTTGCATCGATGGTGCTGCTGGCCTGCTCCTTTTCTTCATCACGAGGCAATATCGGGGTATTGTCGGTTGTTCCTGTCGACGATGGGAGTTCGTTAGACAATGGGATAGACGCGGCTTCTGTCAGGCCAACGTGTTCACCGAAGAAGGATTCCAGGCACCACACGGCTACCAGAAAAGTCGGCGTTGTCTTTTGCTGGGTAATGAAGGATTCGAAAAGTGAGCACTTGAGCTCTCTTTGAATCTCTCGAAGCATCATGACAAGCTGCACGTAACTCCTTGACCTTGTTCCAATCGTATCATCCCACGATGCCATCTTGAGAAACTCAATCACCCAGGGAGTGGTGAGTGACAGAGTTCCCGCATTCTGCGATGCCCTGACAGCATCGAGCAGGTCCAATCCCCCGGTAGGGTCCCGTTGCAGCTGATGCAGGAGATCCACTGGAGCCACATCGCTTCCCTTTTGAAGGACGCTCGTGCTCTTTCCGGAAACTTCTTGCCAACTCGGACAAAACACAATCACACCCAGAAATCTCGCCAACATTTGCAGCTTCAACATTTTTTCTTCCAAGGGAGTTTCTTGGTTATTGCTGCTAACTCCTCCAACTCCATCGTCAAGATTGTTGGAGCTGCGAATGAGATGGACCAACTGGTGCTGCAAATGTCGGTTAAATCGATGCGAGTCTGTGGACATGATAAAGAGAAAAAAGAACTCTTGATGCCCGGTAAAGTACTCTTTGGCTTGTTCTTCCGGTGCAATGGTCGCGTGCTTCTTGTTGTTTCTCTCAAAGGTGAGCTTGGTGTTGTTATAATTGACGCCGCTGCCATTTACAAATTTGGACGAGAATCGTTTGTGCAGCTTCTGTAGCTTTTCCTTGGACCCGGCCAACGCAAAGAGCTCCTTGTCGTTTTCTTGGAGCGGGACGAGTCCCACTTGCAAGAGTAGTTCGCAAAAGAATTGGGCGAACCACGGCAAATTCACCGTCATGACACTATACAAAACGACTCGACAATTGGATTTGATCTTGGCCATTTGTTTTTGGGCTTCGAGTACCTTGCCTTTGATACTGAGAAAGGCTCGTAGTTGATAGAGGAATGCATCTCGCGTTTCTTCTCGATTCTTGTAGATTGTTTTTTCGTCCTGACTCTTGAAATGATGTCGTGAATCCCGTTCGTGTTGAAAGGACAACGTCAAGAGCGCCGTTTGACTGGCGAATGTAGTTTGCGTGGACGACAAGGCTGATGATGATTGATCCTTGTGAATCCTATCTTCCAGCTGTTTCGTCAAATCTGGTAAATGGGTCCGAAAGGCAGTGCTCTGAATCAAATCCTTCCAAAACGACAGGCCAAACACCTGGAGCCATGGGGCCAGTTGGCGGAGTGCCTTGACGGCAAAGAGCAGTACGCGGTGTTCGTCATTGCCACCAAAGAGCGTGTCCGCGAAAATTTTCTGTTGGTTGTCACCACAAGTAGCTGCGGTTGGAGCATTTTCCTTGTTTCCCTTGACGTGCAAAAGCCTCATGAGTAGATGTAACTCGAGAACCGTGGAAGGAACCAAGTTTTTCCATATCAATGTGCAGTAGATATCCACAAATCGATTCAGATCGTCATTATTGTCTTGATGATTATTGTTATTGTTGTTGCTGGAAGCAGTGGTAGACGCTACTTTGATGGGTGTATTGACGACCGATTGATTTTCTGGACCAATACCAAAGGTGACATGTTTCCTGCCATCCAACAAATCTTGTTTGGTGCTTCCTACTGTGGTTTTGAACTCTTTTGAAGTTGTTTTGTTGTTGATTTTCGCAGTATTTTTAGAGCCAATAATAAGGGTTTGAGATCCAATATTATTTCTTGGTTGAGTTGTTGTTTGGGGTGGATCTCTCGTAGCAGTAGCGGTATTGTTGCCCCACGCCTTGGCTCCAGTCTGTTTGGCATTGTGAGTATCGATTGGTGGTTTATTAGCTGTTGACAATGGTGGAAAGTTGTTTTGCTGCGGCTTTGCCCAGGCATGGCTGTCTTGGCGAGGCCAACTCTTTGTACTGGTGGAACTTGAGGAGAATGCGGTGTTGGTTGTCATTGGCGTTTGCTTGGCAATTTCTCCCCACACACCCGAGCTTCCTTGGGCAGGTGCTACAGCCGCTACAGGTCGAATTCGCTTTTTCTTCTTTTTCTTGCCTTGATGTCTCTCTTGTGAATTGTCGTGTTTCTGTGTCTGTTGTTGTTGTGGCTGTTGTGATGCTAGCGATGGAAATTGATCTTGATAAGACTCCTGTATTGGCTTATTTGGTTGTGTCATTGGTGGAGGATGCTTCTTTTGAGGCGACCTTCCATCTTCGCTGTTGCTGCTGCTGTTGTTGTTCGATCGACTACTAGTAGAAGACTCGAGGAATGGTTTGCAAGCTGCTCGCAGTTCTTTCAAGATGTAGAATGACACCATCACCCGTCGTACGCGACAGTCCGCCACAGTGCAAGGAGTCGATGAGCACTCAACATCTTCATCTTTGGTGGACCCAGTTGAAGCGGCAAGCCAATCCACCAGTCGCCTGTGCTGTTCGTCATGGACTATGGCATCCCCGACGGTTGACTCAATGGGAGATGAACAAGGACAACTTCGAAGTTGGGAGTGACAGGAGGAGTCCATACCTGAATGGATGACAACAAGGAGAGTGCAGAAGGCTTCACCATCGTCGGATTGTGGGTTTGGTGGTGGTCCTTCAGAGAGGAAAAGATTCGATTCGAGGCGCGCAAAGATTTAAATGAACGCAAAGAATTAAGCAAAAAAACATTTGTCTTTGGGATGGCGATTTTGCGCTCGAGCGCTCAGAACAGACGAACAGACCCGACGATCGTTCCAACTATGCATACCGGTACCGGTAGCTACGGTAGATCTTGGTCCGTCAGCAACAACGTGGTTCCAACATCGACCTCAAGCCTCAAGCCAACCAAGCAAACAATTCTATTGCCATCATCTTGCCGGCGGCTTTGCTTGCTGAGGACGCACCTCTCCTGACAGTCTGATCAGCATCATTTGATAATCGCCAACAAGTACTACGGTCGGGTCCTACCGTGTCTTGCTGAGGAAAGCGAAAGCGAAAGCGAAAGCAAAAGCAAAAGAGCCGACAGATCCCGTTATAAAGCCAATGGATACACAATATCGAGGAAGATCAAGATGAGCCTAGAAGAAGAGAAAAAAGCCGAATCTGCTACTCCCGAAAAAGAGGCTAAAACTGCAACCGACGACAGCATCACATGTGACACCCTGGCTGATAGTACAGAATTGAACGAGAAGAAGGATGATATGACCACAGAGTCTACTACTCTTGCCGGTACTGCTGGCAATGATGACCCCGAAGTAGTAGCACCGATAGCTGCAGACACAGAAACAAAAGGCGAAACACCGCCAAGTGCCGACCAATCTGAATCTGCCAGTACTACTGAGGCCGCAAAACCGGAAGAGTCTACCACGGAAGCTAGGAAAGCTGAAGATTCGACTCCTGAAGTACCCACTCCTGAAGCTACCCCTGCATTAGACGACACTCTCGCCGATGATGAATCGAATAACAATCCACAATCAGCAGCAGCAGAAGATGTTGGTACTGCCATTGTGAGTAGTGGACCAGGCACTGTAGGACTCTATGAGGGTGGTCTCAAGCACGCCTTTGTTCCCGGTGATCACGTGATTCGCTGGGAGATGCTACCCATCGTTTGGCCCATTCAAATACACGGCATTGTCTTGGAGACTAGCAAAGATTATGTCAGTATCTGCGATTTTGGACTCACGGCCGAGCCCAGACACGATCTCAAGGAAACAGAACAACAAGCAGCTGCTGCCGCTGAAGAGGAGGCCAAAGAGGAAACAAAAGACGAAAAAATCAACACCAACAAAAAACTACTCGCTGCCTGGGACCGTGTCAAACCACCCGACAATACCAAAAAGGAACGAATCACTGTGCATATCATTACCACACAAGACGAGCTAAAGGCATGGAAAAAAGTGAATTATGGACAAGGACTCTTTGGTACGGGACCCCAAGACGACGGCAGCAACCCAGACCACAACCAAAATGGCGCTGCTGATACACAACAACAACAATCACAGCAACAGGCATCGTCAGAAGAAAATCCCAGACCCCGCACGCGTGTTGGACAACGTGTTGGACAATGGTGGCAAAATGCCAAACAACGAAGGCAACAAGGCAAGCAACAACAACAACAGCAAGGCAAGGACCAGCAACAACAACTGCCGCCGCCGGATTCCAATGACAACACGGAGAACACGGCAATGGACGCCGACAACCCTGATGCGGCTACATTTGCCGGCAATGCTTCCATGTCCACCTTGATCACGAGTAGCGATACATTCGATGGTGGTGATGATGCCAACAAACAGGCGACTCTCAAACACTCCAAGAGTGACCCCGAACTGGCATCGTCCAACGGAACTGTCCAAGCAACCACTGCAGAAGAAGCCAAACCAGCAGCTGCTGCAGTACCGGCCCGCCGACGCATCTTTGCCAGACTGCGACGCCACAAGTCACGATCCACCTCTCCCAGCAAGAACGATAATGCCAACAAACTACCCAAATCGGATCCACCCAAATTGGTCCTTGCCAGAACCAGATTCCTGTTGCAATACGGTGAAAAGGTTCTGCCACCCTACCACCCGTTCAAAGCCAACTCGGAATGCATTGCCGTCTTTTGCAAAACAGGTCGTTGGAGTACCCTCCAGGCATCCGTGTTTTTGCATTCCACTGCCATTGGGAATGCCAAGAGTAGCATGGCCATGACACTGGGTGTGGCAGCATCCGTTCCACTCTTGGCTCCTGCCATTGCAGGGATTGGTCTAGTAGCCGTTGGTGCGCCTTATGTCATTCTCAATCAGAGCAGAGAATTCTGGCAACAAGAAACAATCCGTTTGAACGAATTGGTGTGGGCACAAGCGGAACCAGAAGTGTTTGTGGAGTGCATTGAGAGGTGGAGCAATATTGGCAAGAAGAAGGAGGAAAAGAAGGATGGCGACGACAACAGTAACACCAATGATGAAAGCAATGCAGAGGATAGCACGCGGCAAGACGGGTCAGAGAAGGACACCGCGGAGGAGGAGCAAAATGGGGCGAAGGATGAACACAGAGAGACCCCAGAGACGGCAGAAAAAGTCATGGACTCAAGCGCCAAGAGCGCCACTGCCCCTCACAAAACAACGACGACGAAGACCAGACCCAAGGAACGATTTGTATCTGTGTGAACATACAATCTCACCTTTCGTTGAAGGGATATTCAGGTGGTCATCAGATCGGATCTGAGGAACGTCGGGATGATTCAATTCGATTCAAAGCAGTCGATATATTATTGGAGGCACTGCAGCTTGTACAATTTTAACAACAAAATTAGGAAGCCATTTTTAAGATACAAGTTTAAGGGGCGGTCCAACATTGCTAACATGTCGTCGTTGGTGGGTTGCAACACTCTCGTCACAAGACAGGGAATACCGGTGCGATGGTATCTATCTGTACCGCTAATACACTGTGTAGTACGGTAGCTGGTGAGCTGTCTTTGTGGTCGGTTGCAGCTCTGAAGTAGCGGCTTTGCTGGATTATTGCCAATCAACAGATCACAACATCATCACAACGATGAACGCATTGAACGGACGACATCCAGCTTCGGAAGACGTCGACAAGCCAACAGGCCCACAAGGCAGACATCTCATCGTTTGGGAACTAAGATTTCTCCGCTGAAGGAAGGACATTAAAACTGGAGCCAAATTTCAGAGGAAGTCTCAGCCGATGGTCGACTCTAACCATCGAAACGATGATGCCGATGATGTTTCCAAGAACGACCAGGATCCACTGCCGTTCCAGATTGAGCTTACCCTGATTGAGCTCTCCGAAGTCGTTAGAGATGATCCATCAGGCAAAGAGATACCCAATCAAGTGGATCAGATTCTGCAGACTCTTTCCTGCAATGATGCTCTGAGCTATTTGGCCACACTCATACCACCACCAACAATGTCACCCAAAAAAGATTCCAACGGGACAAAGAAGAAGAAGCGTTGGTTTGGAAGACGACAACAAGCCGAACAGCAAGATGATCCACTAGAAAAGAAGACGCAAGAAATCAAGGATCGAATACAGAAACAGGTCGTTCGGTTCTTAAAAGTTCCCGACAAGTACGTATCGTGGGGTTCCATTCTGCTCAAAAGCCAAGCATTTCATCAAGTCCATGACTACCACGCTCCTACGATTCCACGACCTTTAATGGAACTGCCACGGACACAATACAAAAAGCCGTACATTCCTAGTACCGAAAAGTACGATTCTTTTCCTGAAGTCAACCTCTATCCAATCAGCGTCTCCCACCAGTTCCCCTTTGTCGGCTTGGCGAGGCTAGTGGTGACTGAGATATCCAAGCAGCCACAACACCGTCCTTTGGTAGGTCTGGATATTGTCACCTACGACGACTACAATCCTCGCTTGTACGATTCGGCACAGGCGTTTGTGAAGGTATTCAAAACAAGCTTTACAGACTGGGAATGGGATTGTATTCACAATCGCACTTCCACCAATCTACACATGCTACGGGAATTCTATCTTCGATGGGCCATCAAAGAGGCTTATACCAAGGCATTGGGAGTTGGGATGGGGCTCTCCTTTGACTCCTTTGAAACTCATTTGTCGGGTATCACAGAAGAAGGGAGTATCTACGCGTGGATACTGGAAGAGTGTTCGAGAGCCGATGGCGGCAGTAGTAGCAATGACTACCAAAAGCCGTTGCTGGCGAGGGGATTTGTGGTCATCAATCCGGGCACCGATACATGCAAGTCGGAGGGTTGTACGTTCTTCTTTCTGCCCCTGTGGGATGTCAATAAACCTGCACATACCACTGCGATGGGTTGCGCTTGTATATGTCTTTCGCAACCACAATCCACCAACCAAACGGAGGCAGCAATGTTTGAGCTCGTGACAAAGTGGCAAAGCTTGGAGGATGTAGTGGCATGGCATGAGAACAATAGCTCAGTAGTGATGATGTAAAGGCAGCAAGTAAGTTAGCCACTTTGCCGGTTCCGTACAAGTATTTACAAACAAAGTCTCATGGCGCGAGTCGCAGTTTCACCAGAGGGCTACTCGATCGAAACCTGCAATGTCAGTCGTTCAGCGACAACACGGAGATTTGGACGGCGCAGTCTTGCAAGAGAATTGTGATGTGAGATTTTCGTGGCGCTCCAGGTGGATTGTTGAGAAGAGGAAGGTGGGACTCTGAGTAGAACGAGCCAAGCAATCACAACGTAAACCAAGTCACTTGAGATTGAACGTAGAAATGGTTTGTGCTAGAGAGCATTCACTTACGCATCAGGACTTTGTTGAGACGGAAGAACATTCGCGAGACTGAGGAAAAGCCGGAAGGAACGACCAGGAGATGTACTTTCAAAGCCAGATCGAGTACATGACAGTGTACTCCGAAGTGAGATCTTCCGACAGGAGTACATCCAGGCAAGAGCACCGAAGAACGAATCTCTAAACGAGACGAAGGAAAGAATGAAGAAGCGGGGAGTTGATATGGGCTATCTAGGCCGATCCAAAACGTAACTGGACTAAACGCGCGCCCAAGGTTTTAGCGCCCATGGAGAGTGATTGATGGACCTTTGACTTTGGCAGGAGGCACCGACCAACTAAAGAAAATGAACAACGTACCGTACCGTACCGTACCGTATGCGACATTGGAGAAGGGTACCTGGTACGTGATGCTGGCCAAGGCTGAGCACCACCTACCAGGATTGCCAAAAGGCGTCCACACTGTTGACACCGAGCCATGTTGGTTATCACTGGACCGATCACACACCGTCCACCAACACACCAAGAACAGTGTCGAGTCGCACAGAAGATTTCTGTGAGCTGCCCAGACACCTGGGCGTGGACAAACAGCCGAGACAAGAAGCAGTTGGGCAAGCCAGCTCAAGAGACGACGAGCAGAGCAGGAGAAGTCGACTGGAACCGAAAACAAAGGACAACCTGCTGGAGCAGGGGCCAGGCCAGGCCGGAGCTGGAGCCAACTGTTTGCCACCACAGAACCAGAAGAGGAAACAACGGTTGGAAGGGCACACCAGACCAAACGTCAGAAGCGGGAAGCTCGGACTTGGGAAATACCAATGAAAGCGAAAAGAGTTCGAGGAGCAACGGGATTATCGGTACGGTACCGTAACGTACGGTACTTCGGGAACGGTCTTTTAGCAAGAGGTGTACTATTAATAATAGTAATGATTGAATCTTCAAATCTCCTCACTCGGCGTCCTTGGAAGGTGGTGTCACTTGGTATTTGGTAGTGTTAATCCTAACTATTCCTTAAATCTTCTAGTCGTGAATTCCGTCACAGTCATTGAGACCAAGCAACGCTGCGGCACCGCAGCTCGTCCGCGGCTCCGCACCCCGCAGCAACACCGAGAGCACCATGTCAACCCAGACAACAACAACCAATCACCCAGTTATGCATAGCATCAAGGCCACTCAGAGATGCCCAGGAAGTGTCTTGTTGGGTGTTGTTTGGTAGTATAGAGCATGAAATCAGTGCTCATCAGTGGCTCAGTCTCATCTCGTCAGCTGTTGTTTTCCATCTGGCGGAATCTGTCATCTGAAAATTGGGGTGGAAAAATGGGATGTCACCATGTTGAGCTCACTTTTTTGTTCAACCGGATTGCTAGAGTTGCATACCCAACCGAACAAGGAAGACTTTCGTGATTGTTGATAAGCCTAGGCCAGATCAACCCCCCTACTTTCATTTACCTTTTCTACCAATCTTCTATTCAATACCTATCAATTGCAAAATGAAGTTCTCTTCTTCTATCATCAAGCTGCTCTCGTGGTCCATGACCACCGACAACTACAACAGCAACAACAAGAAGACCCCCGTTCTCCAGGTCGACAAGGAGACGACGGGCAACAACAACAAGGACGTTCCTGCGGCAGAGGAAGTCCCAACGTTCCAACTGGACGAGTTGGACAAAGATGTCGTCCAAACCGCGGCACTGTTGCACACAGATGGAACGAATCCTGATGTGGAGTTCCAGCAGCACGGTCGCTACATAGGTGCCTACGACCTTTCCCTGGTTCCTGCGGATCAGCATGGTCACTACGGATACGACAAATACAACCAGCACCGGCCCAAAGGCTGTCGCATCAAACCCAGTCATTCAGCCAACGCTCGCTGGAAGGCCCATTACGGTCAAGACACCGAACGGAGCAATGGAAACCGTTTATCCTTTGCTCCCGTCAACACTGTAGTGGGGTACTCTTCTGTCAAGAGCGAACAAGCTGAAAACCGTCGTGTCTATCGAGACATGAAGAAACATGTGCCACAGGCCCAATACGAATTCTGGCATGAAGCCCAACAACAATTCCTTTCCGTCGGCACACCCTCACCCCACGAACGTGTCTTGGATCTTGTGCAGGTGATTCAAGAGTACGGATACCAACAAGTGACCAAATGGATCACCAACAACCTATGGTTCCAAAGCGACAAAGCCTACCTAAAACAAGCCAAACTGTACATTCAAATTGATGCCGTGCATCAAGACCTCGAGGGACTTGTTCGTTTCATCCAGGCGAAGAAAGGAAACGACAAACAAGTCGCCCACTGGTTCATGGTCAACGAAAAGAACGCTTACATGTTCGAACTCGCCATGTGCCACTTACATCTCGGCGGTATTCAGCGCAATGCCAACGACGAAATTTGCACCTTGAATACGCGAGAACAGATTGCCAAACGACGATTTGTCTATCGCAAGGTCAAGGACGTCTGCATGGAAGATGCAGCACCCGTAGTAGAAGTAGAACAACAACCAACAACAACTAAAGACGTTGAGACAATAGAAACAGTCTCGACCGTTGACGACGACAAGATGGCATCTGATGCCACAATCACATGCGAAGCAGCGGTGGTTCCCACATGCACAGCAGTGGTCCCATACGTTCAAAAGTGGCATGTGGCACACTTCAAGATCAGTTTGCATGGACAACAGCCATTTGTATTGGAGATGCGAATGATGAATGGTGTGCTACTTGGAGTGGTACCCAACGACATTCTCGCAGCCTTGATGAAGGATGGTGGAGACCTTGTCAAGGAATTGATGCGGCGATACAAGACACTACAATTGGAGGCTGGTGGAGCCTTGGACGATACAGATTACGAATTCGTGACTGGCGACGAAGTGGTAGCTGAAGAGCCACTGGTCGAGGAACAACAACAGGTTGATGCTGAAGAACCACAAGTCGACAACCGAGTCGACGAGGAGGACAATGCGGACACAGCACAATCAACTTTGCGACGATCAAAGAGACGCATGGCGGCGATTGCATCTCAGAGAATCGCAGAACAAATCAAGACGAAGCCACGGCGGGTGGCAGTTCAACAACCTAGAATTAAACGTAGACGGGCGGTGGCCACCAAGAAAAAGTCGACAAAGCCAAAGGTGAAGGGCAAGAAGAAGACAACGACAACACAACCTGTGACGGACACACAGCAGCAAACAACAGTTCAGACAACAACAACTCTTTCTGGACGGCGAGTCAGAAAGCCTGACCGGTACATTCCAGTCTAGGACAACAGGTAAGTTCCACGACGGATTGCGGGACTAACACAATACAATACACAAAGAGCAAGCATCTGGTGGGGTGCAGGGCTATACAACATTTTGCGGAGATGAATACAGTTGGTTCAATTGAAGGGTCACATTGAAGGTAGCCAGGTTTGTGGTTCCTGTGCTAGGCAGCCTCTATTGCAGAGTGCTTGTCCGAACGTCCTCCACGCGACGAAAGTCCAAAGTTAATACCCGTGACACCCGACAACCAACCTCTATCATTGTTGATGCTATGCTACAATCTTTTAAAAATACAACCAAACAGAAACATAGAACAATAACACATAGTAGACAATCTTTACAAACAAAAATCATGGCTTCATTCTTTATGTACTGTAGTTGTAGTCGTAGTACATAGGAGACAATCTTTTTATAAACAAAACGACCCACCAACCGGCCGAGAGCGGCAGAAGACGAGATGATGGAGGAACCTCGGAACCTTCCGCTCCAGGAGAGGATTGGCTTGCTCATGCGGGCTGAATCCACATGCTACGCGTGGGTGCTGCGAATGGTGGACATTCTTATTACTATGGGATGTATCCACCTAAAACTCTAAAGTATACTCGTGAGAATAGGTACCCTTGGGGATGCAAGGACATGCCATTCTTTGCACGGACCGTGTGCACTTGGATTTCCTAAAGTGGACAGACGAGAACGGATGCCCAGGAGAAGAGGGAGGAGTATTGACCACAGAAGCCAGGGGTCATATTTGACAGTCAGGGAGTTACTTGGCCGAAAGTTTTGACAACGGGCCGCCTTATATTGCGTCGTCCCGATCTGCGCACCACCCGCCCATGCCTCTTGCTTTGGCATACACAACTGTCGGCTCTATGGCCTCGCCGCCTGACTCGACTCGAGTCCTCTGGCGCATGCGGAGCTGCTACCGGTAGGTAACCTACAATCGGTGGTGCCACGGTGGCGATGCGGGAAAACAAGCAGGATGACATAATGCAACCATGTTCGCCGCGAGGCCACGCATCCTTTGCTTGAAGATACCACTAGCTATTAATAGTACTCTGAATAGCTGTAATCGTAATCTTTGCACGGCTGCCGTTCGGTGGTTCAGGATAGAGTATCACGCACGCTACCTACTGACACGTATCCCCGCCTTACTCCGCTGCCGATCATGCTTGTGCAAGCTTGCTTGTCCCGTTCTAGCGGCTCAAGACTTCACAGTACGTTTGACTCCAATCCACAGGGATATGCTCCCATGCATTGCATCAAATGGTGGACTTTTCATGGTTGGGTTATCAATGAAGCTGCTTCAAGAGTGCTCTTCCCTTACTTTGCACTGCAGCTTTGATCCTTTTCGCGGTGGAAACAAGCTGTCTTCTTTCTAGTAGTCTATCCACGTCTCAACATTCTTCAAGAAGCAAACGAAGGAACGCACTGTTTGCACTGTTTGGACCTCTTGCTAAGAGATTTCGATAGACTTCTGAGTGCAGAACAAGCACCTGAGGAGAGGTTTCCTACGCAACGGAATCACTTTTAGGATGATAGCAGGCAAAGACAAGCAGACGAACGATTCCTGCAGTAGTCTCTCTCGCCCCAGGCTGCCAGTGAACGAAACCACTCCCTTGGTATCCAAAAAGATGCTCAACGAAAGTCCCACCATGGAGTCTTCCGATGCTTCTTCATCTTCCTCCTCCCCTGGGGATGAGCAGGTATCCATAACAACGGCTACAAACAAATCTACCCGATCCAACTTGGTCCTCCTGGTGTGTGTCGCCGCCGCTACGGCTGCCACATTAGGCTATGACGTTGGTATCATGGCGGGTGCCATTCAACCATTGGAAGATCAATTCCAGTTGACTGGCGTACAAAAAGAAATCGCCATGGGGAGTCTCAACTTTGTGGCGGCGTTCGGGGCCTTCCTGGGAGGGCACGTTGTGGACGGGTACGGCCGCAAACGAACCATCTCCTTGTGTTGCTGGTTGTTCATTGTCGCATTGTCATGGCACTCAGTGGCACATATGGGGTGCTGCTGACGGGCCGAATCATTACTGGATTGGGCGTGGGAGTTGCGTTTGTCACGGCACCCTGTTACATTACCGAAGTGGCACCCGCCGAGTCTCGCGGACAGCTCAATACCGTCTTTGATATCAGTATCAACGGCGGGATTCTGGTGGGCTACATTCCAGGATTCTTGGTACAACTAGTCCTGCCCGATAACTGGAGACTCATGTTGGCATGTGGTGCCATTCTACCGTACCACTGATAGTATTGGCATTGCTGAGCAAGCTGCCCGAATCACCGAGATGGCTCATGTTGGTGGACCGGAAGGGAGATGCCGGATCAGTTCTCCCTCATGACTTGGGAAACAGGCAGTCCTCGGGAAACACAACAAATACTGCAAGGTGTGCAAGAGGAACTCTCGCGTGAACAACAGCAACAACAGGAGCAACCATCCAACAAGTCCTGCTGGAAGCTGAGCCATGGACAACGCTATGCGATTCAGCTAGGATTCTGGCAACAGCTTACGGGAACGGAAGCCGTCTTTACTACAGCGCGGATTATCTTGAAAGTGCCGGTCTCCAAAGTCCACTGATGCGACTAGGCGGCAATGTCTTTGTGGGCATTTGCAAACTAGTTCCCGAGTGCATTGCTATGCAACACATTGACACGGCGGGACGCCGTCCGTTGCTGTTTGGTTCTGCCCTGGCACTTGTTCTGTCCACGGCAGGCTTGTCGCTGGCATTTTTTCTGAAAGCATCTCCAGGGATCATTGTTGTGCTGTTGTGTGCTGTCATGGCATCGTTTAGTGTTGGGTTGGGACCTTTTACGTTCTTGTCAGCATCCGAAATCTCTCCATGTCTGAACGAGCGGCTGGAATGACCTATTGCTCGGCTTCCAATCGCCTCACTGCTGGAACTGTCGCCATGACAGCTGTCACATTGAGTGGCATTCTTGGAGATGCTGGCCTCTTTGGTCTCTATGCTAGGGCAGGATTCTTATCGCTATTCTTTTGTGCATTTGTTCCAGAGATGGCAGGACTATCTCTGGAGGAACTATCCGCAGCCCGTGGCAGGAATGATGACGGCGCGACACCGGTAGAAACAAGAGAGATGGAAACATTTCGACGCTTCGAGAGTGGTGAAATGGCTTAGTGAACAGCCTGCATCATTGTCTGGCCATCATCACTCATCATTAATAACTTTGCTATTGTGTAATTCAACTTTTGCCTTTGCAAACTCCTTAATATTCTCTGGCTTCAAGAGTCGAAGGCCATGGCAAAGTCTGCATGATCCACAGAATTCACAGTCACAAGGGCCAGTGCAAGTGTAACACAGGCAGGGCATCATAGGATACTTCAGTGCTGGAATTGCCACTTGGTAATCGCTTCAAGTTAGGAGAAGTCATTGGTGGATCAGCATGTATGTTTCAATGGACAATACACAAAAAGCAGTTTTCATCACCACTTGCAACCTCGACAGCGTATAGGTACTAAAATTGGAGAGGGCCTGACCACTGAGGGGACATTTTTTTGTAACCAATGACAGAAGCGTCCATGCAATCTCCACCTGATGTGAATCCAATACTCGGATTGTCACAGTTGTGTTGTCCGGAACCTGTGGTTGTCTTCCCTTGCTTGCTGTTGCACTGGGATCGTGACACCTCAAAAGCACTGATGATCCTGGTCCTTGTCATCAAAACAGCGCCGCTACGGCACAACAACACAGTCCAGGGACTAGCTAGCCACACTTGTAGCAAGCCATAGATATTGAGTTTGACAACTTTGCTGTTGCATGTTCCCGCTGGGATGAAAATGACAAGGTGACTTTTGCCATCGTAACGTACGGTACCTCGTCCTTGGTACTCGTATAGCTAAGCTTCTTACTGCCGAGGTACAATCTTTACCGAGCCTGCCAGTCCAAGTTGGACGCAACGGTATTTTGGCTCACTTGTCTGCCGCCACCTTTTGAAGAGCCCAACACAAACAACGGATCAGCCATCAAAAGAAGAGAGAAAGATGACGGACATCCAACTAGCCACTGACGGAGATGATGACTACAGCTTCCCCCCCGTGGAAAGGAACGCTCGTAGAGTGTCCATGAGTGATGATAGTGTGACGACGCAAGTAGTAGAAGTGAGCAACAAGAAGAGGAGCAAGAAGAATTCCACCAAAAACCTTCGCAGTTGGGAAGAAATGTTCTCCGCATTGCAAGAGTACAAGGATCACCATGGCCACTGCAATGTTCCGTACTACGACAAGGTGGACCGTCATCTGGGAGAATGGGTGAACAAGCAACGCAAGAGTCGTGACAGCCTGCCCAAGAACCTTCGTGATGCGCTTGATAGCATTGGCTTTGACTGGCAGTCGACGCAAGACAGAATCTGGAATGAGAAACTAGCTCGTCTTCAAGACTTTTACGACAAACACGGACATTCCTCTGTGCCCTATCACTACGATGATGGTCATGGGACAGATCTTGCCAATTGGGCATCCAAACAGCGGCAGATTCAAGTGCAGGGGCGGCTTTCCAAGGAACGTCATGCCAAACTCTCCGCACTCAAGTTCACGTGGAGAATGAAAACTCACACGATCCGCATATCTCCCAAGGAGGAATCCAAGTGGAAGGACAAATACCAACGGCTTGTCGCCTACAAGAACAAATTTGGCACTTGTGCTGTTCCCTTTCAGTATGAACACGACAAATCCTTGGGCCGCTGGGTCAACGAGATGAGGACCCAGAACAAACGTGGCGTGTTGCGTCCTGATCGAAAAGCATTGCTAGAAGATATTGACTTTATTTGGAGAATCAAGTCATTGCCTGGGGAATGTCCCACCAAGAAATCCTCCAAGCGAAAGTCATCAAAAGTACTGCCATCCCAGAAAGAGATTGCTCCTACCGATACAATCAATCCTCCCACCAAGCGTGCCAAAAAGAGTCCATCTACTAGTACTGCCAATACTATGACGACTGTAGCACCGGTTATTGTATCGGACAGCGACAATCACAGCATTGCCAGCCGTGAGGATACTACGACACCCCTGCAGTACAATCCTGGTGAGCTTGACTTTGATCTCATGTACCGCCGCTTACAAATCTTTCAACACCAATACGGCAAGCACGTGGACATTCCACCGGACTACAGCTCTCTGTCCTTGGGACCGTGGTTGGCGGCCATGAAGCAGCAAGCACGTGCTGGACAATTGCCCGAGGACAAGGCTCGCAAACTCCAGGATGCAGGGATTGTTTTGGTCGAAGGAGAGAATCAAATCTGGGAGGAACGATTTGGGGATCTTTGCGACTATGTGAGCCGTCATGGACATGCACAAGTCTCCCAGAAGGAATACCCCGAGTTGGCAGCTTGGGTGTCTGCGCAACGTCGCCGGTTTTTGCAGAAACGACTCTCGGAGCCTCGCCGGATTCAATTGCAGAATATTGGATTTGAACTACATGTATCTGCGTCTGGGTTGACAGGTATTGAAGAGAAATCAATGATGGATGGTAGTGGGGGCGGTGCAGACGCAATGCCAACCGCTGGAAAGAAGGATGCAATGGACAGTTGCAGCAACCTGGAAGTTGATGTGTTTGCAGCCGCCGTGTCCTGGACGGCTTGAACTCTCTCTATGTAACTCATGTTTAGTAAAATTTTATTGGGACTAGAAATTATGAATTTATTGGTAGCCTTTCAACAATAGTTAGAAGTAGATGTGTGGTACATGTACCGGAATCAAGGCATTGCAGGCACTGCCGTGGGCGGTCTTGAAGCCAACTGTTGGGGTCAATCCTTGAAACTTGACTGCATGGCCAACATTGTACGTACAGTATGCAGCTCCCGCTGGTTTAAAAATGGCCGTTTCTTTCGATGTGCGTCGGCCAGGTCGGATTCAAAATTCAAACAAGGCCTCACTTAGCAAGCCACAGAGGGCCGCCTCTTTCGCAACAAACAACGGCGGTTTTCGGAAGTTGCTGTTGTTTTTTCGAAGCTTCATTCTTCTTTCTCGGGGTTGAAGCAAGCACAAGCGACAGCCCATGACCCTCTCGCTAACGTTGTGGAGATCCTTCCGATACCACATTGCTACCGTATCCTCGTAGTTGTTGTTCGCCGCCTTACATACTCCTCCACCATGTCCCAAACCAACCGCAAGCGCACGTCGTCATCCTCCATCTCGTCTGCGGATTTGACCAGTCCAGAAGATATGGATCCTCCCCGGAAGATGACGTTTTGGGAGCGAGGATACAAGTCTCTCAAGTCCTTCAGAGAAAAGCATGGGTAAGTCTTCCCGTTTGGGTTCATCTACTAGCTAGTAGTGGCGGCGCGTAGCAGCTACCAATCCGCCGTCACGCGCATTCTCTCAATCATTTGCCTCATATTGCTATTACTATCTTACTATACTGTACGTTCCACCCATCCATCTATTAGCCACACCAATGTTCCGTACCGCTACGAAGAAGACCGTACCTTGGGAACTTGGACCGCCCGTCAGCGCAAGCTCAAGGATGAATTGACGGACGATCAACGAAGGCTTCTCGAAGAAATTGGATTTACATGGCAATCCACGCAAGATCGGGCTTGGATGGAAAAGTTTGATCGTCTCAAGACGTACTTTGAAAAGGAAGGACACTCCTGCGTACCCACAAGCTACCCGGACGATCCCGAATTGGGGTGAGTTGAGAGTTTGGTGAATGGGCAGAGACTTGGCGGCAGTGTAGCTATGTATGGATCTCACCTCACTTGTCCCCTTTTTCTCACTGGTAGCGAATGGACTGCCAAGCAGCGCCAAAAGGAGACGCAGGGCCGCCTCTCCCAAGAACGTCGCGAATTGCTGGATAGCGTCAAGTTTGTCTACCGCATCAACAAGTTTGTCAAACGCAAGTCCACAGCAAGAGAGGACAAGAAATGGTGGGAACAACTGGAGCGATTGATTTTCTTCCTCTTGGAACATGGGCATGTACGTACTTGCTTACTTACTCGACAGAACAGTCAACCTACAGGCTTTCTCGGTAGTTTCCTCACAACACCCTAATTCGTTTCGTCTATCCAGACTCTGGTCCCATTTCAGTACTTTGCGGACAAGTCACTTGGTCGCTGGGTCAACGAGCAGCGCTGTCAAAACATGCGAGGACTGCTACGACATGATCGACGAGATATTCTGTCGGCGATTGGATTCGTGTGGAAGGTCAACTCGCGCAAAGGACAATTGATCCTGGAAGACGGAGCCGACGACAATTCGCAATGGGCCTACAACTTTCGACAGCTGGTCGAGTACAAGGAGATGCATGGATCCTTTCCAGCCGCCGGAATGGATGCTCCTTTGAGCCTGTGGGCCGACGCGCAGCGAAGCATCATGGAAGAGGGTGACATGGAAGAAATGAGAGCCCAGCGCTTGGCCGCCATTGGATTTTGCCGTGATGGGGAAGATGAGATTTGGGACACCAACTACGCCAAGCTGCAAGCTCAGGGATACAATAGCATTTACACACTGGAAGATTCCTGTTTGTCCCACTGGGTCATTATCCAGCGCTACCTGTACAAGAAGGGCCAACTCCACCAAGACAAGAAGATGCAGTTGTTTGATATTCCTGGCTTTGTCTGGGATTCTTCGCCCCTCAATCTACCCAAGCCCGAGTCCAAGCATGTCTTGAAAGAAAAGCAACGCCGCAACAGCAATAGCAGCAACAACAACAAGGAGAACAAGAAGCCTTCCAAGGGAAAAAAGAAGGTTGTTGCCACGCCTTTGGAGGAGCAACGCCAAACAACTTCCACCATCTCGGCGCCGGAGAACAAGAAACCAATCAAGAAGCGAATTCCCTACGTGGTAGCATCTTCCACTCCATCGATAGCCACCTCGACCCCAGCCAACGAGATTGAAGGCTTTTGTGGTCTCTTAGCCATCGCTTCCAGCTTTCGGGCCAAAGAAAACATTTAGACTGCATTTAGTTGGTTGCCAAGCTTGGGCTTGATTCTTGCGTTCCTAATATATTGGTGAATGCTGAGGGATCAAATCGCACATCACATACAATGTCATTATGCTCTCCAAGTAGTCTAAGATTAGAATATGCATAGTATCAATGCTTACCAACATTCACAACGATAGATATACCAAGGCCTTGTCTGGGTAGCAAAGCAGTTCCATGATGTATGTGTGAGTACTGTGCTGTCGACCCACGTTTAGCCGGGACAAGCTGTCAGCCTCGGCTGCAAGGGACTGCTCGTTCTTGATGGCTTTAGGCGCGATCTTGGAAGGGATTTAACCTCAAGTCACCCCACGGAAGCTTTGATCCCGCCGTCACCCACCTAGCCACGTGTCACCAAAACTTCTTTTTTTTTGTTTCGTCCTGGCCCACCGATCAACCTCCACTTCAAAAGAGTTGTCCCTCTTATTGACACCGAACTGGTAAACCTTGATCCTCGATAATCAATCGACGACCATGAGACTCTACTACATTTTGGATGAGGGCCTGCCTCTGAACTGCCAGACTGGAGTAGGGCTTGACAAGGTTTCGTCTCTCCAGAATGCAATCAAATTCTTGGTCAAATCCAAGGAGGTGATGGCGGCCAAGGTAGAAGAAATTCAAGTCTTTCCTTTGGGAGTCACCATCAAAAACTTTCGCGAGCACACTCCGTTAAAACCGGACGACCCTCTCCCAAAGGGCTCGACTACCAAGAATGCCATTTTTTGTCATGTGGAGCGAGACTACCAAGATTTGACGGCCGAGCGGCGCCGATTGCTCAGCAACCCTGTGCCATCACCGGCACCCTCACCCAAGGCCAAGAGAAAATCGGTGCAAAATATTTTGACAGTTACGGTGCGACCCAAGGACGGCAAGCAGTTCAAGTCAAAGCTTTTCCCCAAACACACCATCGCCAACCTCAAGAAACAGTTTGAGGGACCGTCCAAGGTACCAGCCGACAATCAAAACTTATTTTTGGATGGCACGGCACTTTCTGACCCCGACAAAACAGCAGAAGATTATGGTATTAAAAATGGGGATATCATTGATCTGGAGCCCAAAACCATTCAGGTCCATGTCCAAACTCCTGATGGCAAGAGGATCCCTGTAACCATGGATACTTCCGACAAAATCCAATTTATCAAGGAAGAAGTGGCTCCAGAGACAGGAATTGATGTTCCGGAGCAAGTGCTGAAATTTAATGGGAAGGAGTTGTCCAATGAGGAAACAGCCGACGAGGCAGGTTTGGAGAATGGATCTGTGCTTCATCTCATGCCGAACACAATCCAGGTTCATGTTAGAACACCGGACGGAACCACAATCCCTGTCACAATGAAACCAACTGACAACATTGAGTTCATCAAGGAAAAGGTGGCCCCAGAGACAGGCATAGAGGTGCCACAACAGGTGCTCAAATTCCAAGGTAGAGAGTTGCCCAACGACAAGACTGCCAAAGCGATGGGGCTACAGGATGGAGATATCATTGACTTGGAACCAAAGACAATCCAAGTCCTGGTCAGGACACCGGATGGAACTAAAATTCCGGTTACAATGAAACCCACAGACAACATTGAGTTCATCAAAGAGAAAGTTGCTCCAGAGACAGGAATAGAGGTGCCACAACAGGTGCTCAAATTCAAGGAAAAGAACTCCCCAATCACAAGACTGCAGATGCCATGGGGCTACAGGATGGAGATATCATTGACTTGGAGCCCAAGACAATCCAAGTCCATGTCAGAACACCGGATGGAAATAAAATTCCGGTTACAATGAAACCCACAGACAACATTGAGTTCATCAAAGAGAAAGTTGCTCCAGAGACAGGAATAGAGGTACCACAACAGGTGCTCAAATTCCAAGGGAAAGAACTCCCCAATCACAAGACTGCAGATGACATGGGGCTAAGGATGGAGATATCATTGATTTGGAGCCCAAGACAATCCAAGTCCAGGTCAGGACCCGATGGAACTAAAATTCCTGTCACAATGAAACCACAGACAAAATTCAATTTATCAAAGAGAATGTGCTCCAAAGACAGGAATAGAGGTCCACAACAGGTGCTCAATTTCAGGGGAAGAACTCCCGAATCACAAGACTGCAGATGACGTGGGGCTACAGGATGGGGATATCATTGATTTGGAGCCCAAGACAATCCAAGTCCAGGTCAGGACACCAGATGGAACTAAAATTCCTGTCACAATGAAACCTACAGACAAAATTCAATTCATCAAAGAGAATGTGGCTCCAAAGACAGGAATAGAGGTACCACACAGGTGCTCAAATTCCAAGGTAAAGAACTCCCCAATCAAAAGACTGCAGATGATGTGGGGCTACAGGATGGGGATATCATTGATTGGAGCCCAAGACAATCCAAGTCCAGTCAGGACCCAGATGGAACTAAAATTCCTGTCACAATGAAACCTACAGACAAAATTCAATTTATCAAAGAGAATGTGGCTCCAAAGACAGGAATCGAGGTACCACAACAGGTGCTCAAGTTTCAGGGGAAAGAACTCCCCAATCAAAACACTGCAGATGACGTGGGGCTACAGGATGGAGATATCATTGACTTGGAACCCAAGACGATCCAAGTCAATGTCAGGACACCGGATGGAGCTACAATCCCTGTCACAATGAAACCTACGGACAAGATTGAGTTCATCAAAGAGAAGGTGGCTCCAAAAACAGGAATAGAGGTACCGCAACAGGTGCTCAAATTTCAAGGTAGAGAGTTGCCCAATGACAAAACTGCAGATGACATGGGGCTAGAGGATGGAGCTTTCATTGATCTGGAACCCAAACCAAGTGAATACACACCTAGTCCATTTGATATTTCTGTCCAGAAATGTTGGTACGAACTGAACAGAACAGTTCCATACTACATCCGCATCAATGGATGGGAGAAGATTGGCGACTTGAAGAAGCGCATCTTGGAAACTCGTGCTGGAAGGCGGTGTCCCTATCTAGATGGCATGACCGATCCCTCCGAATTCGACGTCTATGCTCATGGAACAGACGAGAAGACTGGATCACCCATGGACCCTGAGGACAAACTTCCGGTGGGTACAACCTGTGATACGCCTCTTCTTGTGCTCTGGTCGAAGGCAAAAGCCAGCGACGCAGACGACTAGTAGCAACGCCAAATCAACAACGATTGGCCGCACGACGGCGAGGAGTCAAAGCCCCCAGAGTGGAGGAAACTCCTGCGGCACGGTCCCAGACGGGTGATATGACAATGCCACTGTGGTTTTGTTCAGCGACGTGGCAGGTTCCATCTTAGTATTCGTAATCGTGTATTTAGCTAAATGTTTCGAACGTCCTCCTCGTCTTCGTCGAGTAGCTAGGTAGCTGAATGCTTTGACCGGCCATCGCCATGTCGTGGCAGGAGCGATTCTTGAATCCCTTGCAACAACTAGGCATTGGTGGTCTCTTGGCAGCCTGCGCACAGAGCGTCGTCTCCTGCCTCGGGAGCTCGGATATCCTTCTTGTATGTGCCCAGAGGCTAACTGGCTGGCTGTAGTGCAACAGCTGGCGGCCAGTTACCCAGTTCGAGAACGTCAGGTTTTTCGTGCTCGATCTCTCGCCTCGGCTCGCAATGAGTTGGCCCTAGGACCCCCCAAAGCTGTCACGATGTATGCATTGCTGTCCGAATGATTGAAGATTCAATCAATTGCCAGCTTTTGCTCGTGTTCACGCCCCCAACCCCCCAGTTAGACACTCATGATGTGTTTTGGCAGAGACACCTTCCCGAAATGCCATCATCAGAATGTCAGCTCGAACAGACTTCGGGACCCTCACCAGACCAAGGGCGAAGGCATCAAGCGTAGATTCGATTCCAACGTTTTCCTTCCAAACAGTAGTGGTGCGGAGAAAGCTCGAAGCTCTCTGTGTTCATACGGTAGCTATCTTCGAACAAGGTCATCGCGTCGCCAATCTTCTCCACCTGCGTCAGAACATAACACCGAAAACGCAAACATTGCTTGCCCTTGCCTTGCACTCTTCATTTCGCGTCTCGTACTGGCGGTCTTCTCGTTGTCTCGCACGTGGATTTCTTCGGGGATTGTGTCTTTTCATCGCTGGCGACGTCGTTCCTGATCCTCTCCGTAGCCCCTTTCAACTGATCCGCGACAAGTTCCTCAAGGCCATCCGTACCGAAACTCATGGCATCTTGCAGGCTAGTCGAACAGCTTCGAACCGAAAGAACGAACAGCGGGCTCGACTCGGCCCCCCAAGAAATTCGAAGCTCAGGAGTGACTGGACAGACAGACCACAACAGTGCTTTTAACTAGATCGGCTGTACCAGTACCGCAGCAACACGCACCGTTACGGCACGGTTGATGGAAGAATCGTCGACACCGCTGTGGAAGTGCCGACAGAGAAAAAGGACAATCGGAGCGACTGCATTCCCTTGAAACTTACAACCTGTGCACGCGATCGAAAGACCAAAAGATTGGATAATCGAAAGCAACCATAACACTGGAAACGATCCCAACCGGATGCTACTTGCGTCGTATTCCAAGTTCCATATCTATCTAGTTTGAGCTGCCATGTTACACTCTACTTCAATCTTATTTGCTTTACATGTACTATCAAACTGGGCTCGAGCTCCAAAACATGCAGAGTCATCTAATAAAACCAGCCATGCCGCTGATGAGCCCAGCACTCCCATTTGCGGCCAAACTGTGGGTTCTCTTACGTTTGGATCTCACTGAGTTCGTCGTCACCAGTGTTCTCTTCCTTGAGCAACGCTTGATCTTCCATTTCAAAGTTGCCCATTTCCACATCCTCATCAGCAGGCGCTCCAGTGTGGTCCATGAGGATCTGGAGCTTGCGCTTCATTGCATCCATATCGTCAGCAAGGGTGGAGATGGCATCATTCTTGCGTTGACGGTTGTGGAACTTGACGACCATTTTCTGCTTTCCATCACGGAACTTGCACCAGAAGACGGTGTAGAAGATGGCAAAGGCAGTGAGAAGAGTGAGACAGATCCCAAGGGCTGTCCATCCCTCAGTGCCTTGGGTGAAGAGGGAGGAAAGACCCAAGAAGTAGAGAGGGATCAAGAAGAAGACGATTGCAATGTACAAGACAGGGAATCCACGCCAGACACGTGTCATCTTTCCAAGGAAACGGGCTCCGCTGAGAGGGACTCTCCTCATGAATGGAATGGGGTACCAAATTAGAATTCCGGTGATGTTGAAGAACAAATGAGCTAGAGCGACTTGCAAGGAGTCAATGTTGTCGGAAACCAGGGAGGCCAACAGGGCAGTCATGGTAGTACCAATGTTAGCACCAAGGGTAAGGGGCAACATGGCTTCAAGGGGAAGCACACCAACTCCAACGAGGGGAGTAAGAACAGAGGTGGTGATGGAGGAAGATTGGACCAGCAGGGTAAGAAGAGCTCCAATGACCATGGAAACATATCCGTTGAGGTTGGTGGCCTAAGATAAAGAAGAGGCAGAATGCATGCTGTCAGGCAACAATGAAACCAAGACACAGAGAAGGTCACAAATCACAGCTTACCTTGTAGATAACACGGGAAGACACACCCAAGAGCATCTTTTTCAAGACAGTGACCAAGCCCAACAAACAGATGAAGAGGAGCAAGATGGCCAGAACAAAGCAGACCGCTCCGGCAACAACTTCATCATTCTTTGTGGCATCAGGGGAGAAGAAGATGGGACACTTGTTGGTATCGCTGTCACAGGCAATGAGGGCGACCTTGCAAGTCTTCTTGGAAACAACTCCATCTTCACAGACAATTGGGTAGTATTCTTCACATGTCTTCTTGCCCTGGGCAATCTCTTGAGTCACCTTCTTGTTTGCCTTGATGATCTTGGAAGTGAGAGGTCCAACAATCTTCTTGACAGGACCCGTCCACTTTTCTCCGTCCTTCACTTCAGCATTCTTGACAATGGCACCAGTGAGGGCATTCAAGTATCCAGTGACAACTTCAACAGGGAGGAGGATGGCAACAGTGGCAAAGTTGAACAGATCATGGACTGTGGCACCAGCAAATGCACGCTCCAATTCATCACCATCTCCCATTTGACCCATCGCAACAATAGTGTTGGTCACCGAAGTTCCTGGAGGTGCGCGGTGAAAACAAAAGTGTCAGTAAAACGATTTTCTCGGAACCATCAAGCTGCAGTGTTGTTATACAGGTGGTGTTGACCTACCAATGTTGGCTCCCATGATCATGTAGATCCCTTGTTCAACAGAGATAGCGTTATCGTCACCGACAAGAGAGACAACAATGGAAGTGGTTGTGGAGGAGGATTGGAGGAGGACAGTAGCCAAGATACCAATCATGACACCAGCAACAGGGTTGGTGTCATCACCAAAGAGGTTTCCAGCACCACAGCCAGTCATGACCTTGGCTCCATTTCCAAGCACATCAAGACCAAGGAGGAAGAAGTAGAGGAAAAAGGCACATGCACAGACACCAATGAAAATCATACCCCACTCTTGGGGTGTGTGGACACAGCAGCTGTGGAAGACCTCACCCCAACTAGCATTCATGGCCTCATCAAGGTCCATGGCTTCCTCTCCGGCATCGAAGTCCAGAGGAGGAGATGATTTGTTCTTCTTTTCAAGATCAGTCGACTGTCAACACAGAGCGTACAGGGCTGTGGTGAGAGGAAAAGGGCAATCATGACGAGCCAGTTGTATGCTTGGCCATTCCGCTGGCTGAATGCTCGGCCACTTTTGAACTCACCATCTTCAAGATTGCTTTTCGATGACACAGGTAGTTGCTTTCTTCCTTCCCTCACTCGAGATTGTGAGAACTGCTGCATTTCGGATGGAGGATGGATCACTGGGATCACGTAGAGGAGTTCCTGTTCGTTTGAGGGTCTTTGACGAGTGGCTGATGGATGAGTGTGACAAAGAATTTTTCATTTTGGACAGTTCATCGTCATGAAAGAAAAAAGGACGCAGAGGAAATATCGATTGGATTTAAGCTATCTGGGCCGACCACGTCGACTTGTCTTCCTTCAATCCAATGGACGAATCTACTTTGCAGGACGAGATTCACTCTGGGATGCTGTGAAGGTGTTTGTACCGGAACCTGAATTCTCACAAGTAGTAAGTGTGACAACGAAAGTTGCAGCGGGAGATTTTACTCGGAGACACCCCTATACCCTACATGTACCTGCCTCCATCATCTGCAGTCCGAAGTGCTGCAAAGCTTTAGAAATGGCCTTTCCACGTCAATATTTCTTTGGTTGGGCCACGTCATGTTTCTCGGAGAGGTCGTCTCCCCCATTTTTTGACATCGCCGATCGACAACACCGAAAGATGATTAAATTTTGGCAAGATCGTGAATCTTTGAGATTCCGCCGTTCTTTCAAGACATGACATCACCCAGAGCCCACCAACAAACACTGACTTGCTGTGGCCCCAAACAGCACCTCTCTTTACGGTAAAAGCTCAAATGGTTACAGGGCTAACTAACTACCAGTTAGGTATTTACTTAGCTGGACCTCAATGCTCCGTCCTTAGATTCTGAACTTCGTCTCTGTATAGCTCATAGCATGTTTTGTGATTACATGTAGATGTTCCTGCCCTCGTCTCTCCAAAGATCGAATCTTTTAGATTCGACTCGACTCGTGGTGTCCTGGCTTTTTCCGCAGACGAGAAAGATTGTTTGGTTCGCAGACTTTGCTCGGGAAGTCCATCTCACTCCAAGGAGCATTCTTCATCCCCCATCGGAAGCAGCAACAACCTCTGCTCCCATCCGCAGAGCTCCTCGCACAAACAGCCAACTATCTCTAGTAGTACATGTAGGGGAGTGCAAGGTCGTCCTCGAAATCTTGAGGAACGGCACAATGCATCATTCAAAGGTCTTGGATTGATTCAATTTTCGGGTTCTGAGTCATCATTCCCCAAAGAATACTCCAAACCAGGATCAAACAGCTCTACAGGTTAAAATCTGAAAAAGTGACGTCAGCTGCAAAACATGAAGAGGACGATGAATGATGGACAAGAGTGCAAACGCTCTGCGGCGAAGCATATTGTTGTAACCAAGATGCGACTGTCTCGTTGCTTGCTGCCCTTGGCATCCACTGTTTCGTACTGTTTCCACCCAGGCAGTGCAGCGAATTTGTCTGCCTTTGTCAGTAACACCACAGCCGGAGGCGGCAAGAGTACAGGCCGACACATGACATCCGGTGACGACGCGGGACGATCGCCTTTGGATCACGAATACCCAGGCACAGCCGTCGAACGGATGCTCAATATTCGAGCTCGAGTGGCGCAGCTTGCCAAGGGTGACGATTTATTTCAGCCGTGGGAAGATGTGAGGCGTCGCATTCTGTGGGCTGGAGGCCTCAAAGATCTCACCAATGTTCGACCGGGAGAAGGCTACACGGGGCATGCTTTCAACGACTTTAACCATGTGGATTTGACCGCCATGATGCCCGTGGATAGTCAAAACAATGGTGAAATTCGAGGCATTGCTAGAGGGAATTTCCTCGGCAAGGGTATTCGAGTTGCCTCCCTTCCAGAACTTGGATCTGGAGGATCTTGGTCGACCTGTGCACTCGGGTGCAACAAAGATCCACCACAAGATGTGGCCCACATTCAATTCCAATCCAGAATCGCCTTTAAACTGGTTTGGGTGCCCAATGAACATTTTGATACGTTTGTACTGGTGGACGATGATGGCAGGCAATTGGCACACGGAAAGCCATCCGACGGTCCAGCTGGACTTCCCAATCTAAGAGAACGGCAACGCAACTATCAGATTGTTGCGGGATCGAAATACGCCAAAGAAGCTGAGGCGCTGGCCCGAAAGAATAGTGTAAAGGATGAACTATGAGCTATCAAAACTTGCTACGAAAGAATAGTGTAAAGGATGAACTATGAGCTATCAAAACTTGCTACAAGCTAGTAAAAAACTGGCTTATGTTGAATAAGGACGGCGAGAAGGATATGGCCCGCTTTGGACTGATACTACTCATATTTGCAGTTTGTGTGCGTGGGGCTTTCCTTTCTTTGATAAGCAAGTCATCTCTTTTTTATTGTCAAGCCAAACAAAAACATTGGCGTGGCTCCCGTGCCCTTTCAGATGAGCTCTGTGAGGTGGACTGCGTCACAAAACAAGTTGGAAACAAAGTATGCATACTAGTACCGTCACGTAGAAGGAAGGGTGGTCCACGCACAATACCATCCATCTGTTCCAGGCTGTGAGCGGGCTGCCTATTCATCACCACAAGTTGATACGGTACGGGTCTGGAAGCAAGTGCGTCCGCCCCTCACAAGTCCTAAAACGACTTGTGACGAAATGCCGGATCGTCTTGGCGGACAAAGCTTTGAAGCAAACTCTCTGGTTCACGGTCGAAGCTATGATGTCACGATGTCACTGTCACAGTAGGAATTTGGAATCTTGCGAAGTCTAACTACATCCTTGAACACTAATTTTAAAATTCTTATCAACGCGCTGCACAATGCACAAGCTCCCGCATCCGTTAGAGCGGATTTAAGGTGGTTCCGTCCAGGATGTAAGCCAGCAATAAGCTGTGAATATAAATGACGTTTGTTTTTATGGATCTTTCGCATATGAACGGAATTCGGAATTTCGCTGGTCGGTAATATGGTTCCACCGCCAAATTCTAGCTTCGAGCCAAATTGGCTGGGTTCGCGCACCTCGAACTAATAAGTCTTTTAGTGCTTCGCGCACGTCGAGATGCAAGAAGGATTTGGCGGGTGTCAAGCATTGGAAAATCACATTCTCCGTGCCAACCAATTGCAAAGGCACGAAAATTCGTGGTAGTGTGCAAAGGTTCATTTCTTTATTACAATGATGCCCGACACGACGCCTGTACCGTATACCACACCAGTGCCTTATTGGCAGCCAACTGCTACTATTGAAGAAGCCAAACTTGTTCATGCTGATGGCTGGAGGAATCTTGCTGGAATAAGTGACTCGGCTGTTACCAATAGCACTGGAAGAACAACTCGAAATGCCAACAGTGGAGAGAACAAACACAAGAAACGGCTCTTTGATGAGGATGCAGATCAAGACCAAGACCAAGGTCAAGGTCAAGGAGAAGAGGCCACTTCAGAGGAAGAGGAGGCTACCACGGAAGAAGAAGGCTATGAGCTGGAGACTGCCACATTCAATACAAAGGCCAGTAGCCGCCTATTGTTAGAGACGAAGCAAGTGGAAAAGCTAGTTGCCGATTTTGCCAAATGCCCACATTGCGATTTTGACGATGAGCCGCTACCGTTGCTTTTGAAGATCCGCAATTGTGGTATCGTTTCGACCTTGCGGCTTGAATGCGCCAACGAAGAATGCGACTACGTCTACGGATTACCCACTCCTGCAAAGACAACAATGCATACTGACGACAAGAAATATGAGAGGAGCACCGATTACGAGCTCAATTTAGTATTTGTTCTTGGGAATATTGCGAATGGTGACGGTGGAGTGGAAGCCGGCAAACTGCTTGGATTGATGGGGCTACCAAATGATACGACAATGTCTGGCCGAACCTTTCCGACGATAGAGCGACGAATTGGCCCCGTTTTGCGGGAACTGAGGGATGAAATCCTGATGGAAAACCTGGACGACGAAGTGAGACGATCAACCACGGAAGAACATTATTTGGCGTGGAAGATGTCTATACCTGAGCAGCACAAAGATCATCCCGTCAAAATCAAATTGAAGGGCTCGTATGATGGTGCTTGGCAGCAGAAAGGATCGGGTCTTTTGTACAATTCATCGTCTGGGCATGGCAGTCTCGTCGGTGCCGCAACCCGAAAGGTTATTGCTTTTGATCAAAAGAGCAAGAAGTGCACCAGGTGCGAACGGCACGAAAAGGAACATCCTGATGCCGACACCCGCCCTGACTACCCCGAGCACTATTGTCCCCGCAACCACGATCCAACCGATTCTTCTGGTGCCATGGAAGCGGCTTTGGCCTTGGAAATCGTAACTGATCTATACGACAATAAAGGCATTATTGTAGAGCTCCTTTGCTGCGATGACGACTCGTCCATTCGGGCTGATTTGAAGTGGTCAAACAAAGACTATCTTATCAACAACAACACTACCGTTCTACCGCAGGTGCCAAAGACGAAAGGAAAGAATAAGGGTGAGCTGCAAGATCGTCCGGACAAAGGGAAACTACCCGGCCATATTCCCGAGCCAAAGTTCTGTGCTGATCCGAACCACCGCCGCAAACAGTTGACCGGGGAACTCATTCGTTTGGATTTGGCCAAGGTAGCCGACAAGAAGACAATGACGAGGTTGGATTCCATTCGACTTGGCAAGAACTACGGCTACATGGCTCGCACACTCAAAGACCGTGATGAATCCGAGTATGTGGATGTCGCCTGGGCCTGTTTGGAGCACCACTTTGATGCCCACGACAAATGCGGTGCTTGGTGCGCTCGGTGTAAGGCAACGAAAGAGGAGCAAATTGCAAGCAAGAAATATTACCGCGACAAGAAACAAGATGCGGAGCTTTACGAGCTGCTACGGAAGAAAATGGGTCGCTATTGTGAGCTTGAGCGATTGAGAGAGATTGCCCACGGCTTGGACACGAATGCAAACGAGTCATTCAACAGCGTCTGTGCCTGGTTCGCACCCAAGAACAAAGTCTTTTCCGGGTCCTGTTCGCTAGCCAATCGTCTTGCCTTTGCCGTCGGACTCGTCTCCCTTGGATATGTGGAGTTTTTCAACCGTCTTTTCCTCAAGCTTGGCATAGAAATGACAACTCAAGTTCAACATTACCTCACCGTCAGACAGAACCAACGACAGAAACAATTGGACCGGCTCAAGACTCCGGAGTACAAGCAGTACCGGGCGGTGACATACGCACGTCTATGACGTGGCGCTTTAACGCTAGTTTTAAGTCTAATCTCACAATATTCCGATCGTAGTTCACTCTGAATTCAGAAGCAAGTTCGGTTGGAATTTGCACATCAAGCAAAAGAAACTTCCTGCGTACATTCTACGCAGCCGTATACTAGGCGTTTGGCCATTGTCAAACAATTTCGAAAATTCACTCGATTTCTATTAACAACGGTAACTCAAGGGTGTAACTCAAAACGAAGTTACTCCTTTTTCTTTCATTATCATTACTTGCGACTCTTACTAACCACAAAGCCGCAAGTACTGTTGTTTGTTATTTACCTTTAGGTTTATTATCTCACCATGACGACGCTTGGTCAGTCGGGCAAGAATCCGGTCATTCCCTTGGTCTCTGAGTACAATGCTGGCGAGGTCGCTACTACCGAGTTGTTCCGTTCTTGGCAACATGCTGGTAACAACGTCAAGCGTAAGCATGACATGATTGTACTGGCAGACGAACAAGAACCGGAACACGTCCTTCGGGTCATCAAGGAGTTCGATCAAGTGACCGGCAACTCAGCCTTGAATTTGGACACGGGTACATTGAGGGCTAACTTCTTTGTCAAGTGTCTTCAAGGCTCTGCTCGAGACAAGTGGAACGTGATTCGAGCAGCGCGTCCTGGTGCAGCTGTTGCTGACTTCGATGCCTGTATTAATTCGTTCATTGCGAAGTTCGTTGAAGACACGGATCTCGCTGATCAGACTCGATACCTGCAGACTGCGACCAAGCCCTTCAAGCTCGATTGCAAGACCTTGTGGTCTCGGTTGGAGTACATCAACACCTTGATGGCGAAGTTTCCTGGCGCAAACAATGCGAACCCTTTTGATGCTCCTGCTCTCAAGATGATGTTTTACAACATGATGCTTCCCCAGTGGAAAGACAAGTTTGCCGATTCCGCTCATGACATTACGGTAATTGGCTCAGTGCAAATGGTTCGCTTCTTTGCCCGTCAAGAAAAGAATTACAACGCTCGCCAACAAGGCTCTCGTGGCCGTGGTGGTCGCGGGTTTTCACGTGGTCGTTCAGGCCGCGGACATGGAAGGAGTGGACGCTCTTCTGGCTATCGTCGTACCTATGGACAAGACGATGGACCTCGAGCTGGTTACTATCCGCCTTCCCAGCGTTTCCGTCGTGGAGGATGGAGTCGTGCTCCTACCTGGACGTACAACCGTAGTCCTCCTCGAGAATACCAACGTGGACAACCAGACGGACAGCAACGCAACAACACTACTCCGGTGCGCAACTTTGCCGGACGTTTCGGACGTGGTGGCTATGCCTCATCACCTCGTGGTCGTGGACGTGGACGTGGTTACAGTCCTCGCCGTGATAATTTTGTGGCTGACGGTGATGTTCGCGAAGACGATGTGTACCACGTCGAAGAACAATCCTCAGAGGTTCCTGCGGCTGCTGCAATGCCGCCTCCTGAAGAACAAGAAGAGATGTATTATCAGGAAGAGCCCCATTACTTTGATTCCATGACAGGGGGTTACGATGACTATGACGAGTCCTATGGATACGGTGGCGATTACTGACCTTCGAAACGGGTCTTTGAGAATTATGCAGCGGCGGCTGAAGGAATCAATGTTGACAAGGACTTGGTGCCGATGGCTCTTTGCGTCCTACATAGTATACAGAATA